GAACCTGTCAGTCCATCGCCAATTCCGCGCATCGCCAAGCCATGTGCCCTCGACGGCCTGCATGCGTTCCTCTTGGCTACCCCATCTTTTCCAGAGCAGCTCAACGGTCACCTGGAGGACGCCAATATGATGCTCGAAGGAGTGACGCTGTGTGGTGACGAGGTGGGTATTGCTGCTGGCTATGGAAGATGTTGTCGCGTTTGACGTCTCTCCTGTGCAGATCCCTACCGTTCTTGCCCCGGTGCCCTTTGACCTCGATGTGATGGACGGCTTCGACATCCTGTTTCCACAGCCCGTCCCCACCGTCATGGAAGTCGATGTCTGCCCTGTCGCCGAGGCCATTCCGCAGCCGTCTCCTTACAGAACTATGGATACCAAGAACACGGTATTGGAAGGGCCTCTGCGTGCCGCGATTGACTGTTGGAACGACATCTTTGACGGACGTGATGGAGGGATGTCTCCTTGTCGGGAATGTGTGGACGTGAAGACGATCACAAGCGCACTGGAGGCGCTAGTAATCTCGGAGGCCGTAATGGAGGTTGACGAGGTGCTGAAAGATGATCCCGTCGACGTGGACATGGACGTGCCTCTGGGAGCGATGCTGACTGTTGACATTCTCGTAGCGCCAATCGTCGACGTCGCCATGGATGCTCCTGCTGTTCTCCACGACGTGATGGTTGGTCCTCGTCATCCTGTCCCTCCGCATCCTGGTCCGCAAGCGCACGCAGGTCAGATCCAAGTTGTGCCTCCGTTACCTCCATGGTGTCTTCCCCCTTTTCTGCCGCCATGCGATCCGCCTGCTGGAAGTAGTCTGGCATCGTCGCAACCACCGACGCCGCCTCCGCCTCCATGGCAAGCAGTGACTGAAGAGCCAGAAGAGCCAGACTGGAAGGAACTGTTTGGCGATGATGCTGGCGAGGACCGATCGTCTGAAGCTAATGTACCGGAGAAGCCCGCTGCTGCTGCTGACGATGACGACCTGGAGTCGCTCTTCGGTCCTGACCCTGACGGCTAGGTTCTCGGTTACTCCGCACACGAAGACGAAGACCACCAAGAAGTTTCTATACTCTGTCTACCTATCTGGATTTGTCTCGTGTCTCCTCTGACCTTGTCTCTGTAATCTCCTGGTTACTGTATGATTTATCTGGCTTCATATCATGTCACTGTCTGGGACCTTCCCGCTATTCTTCGTCCTTGGACGCCACGCAGGGCAACCACAAGTCTGGGTCTAGTCTACATCGTCTGTCTTGGGTCAGCTCCTAGGATGCGCATCTGGTCTTGTCTGCCGCCGCCGCCTGCCTGCGACTATTGCCGCCTCTTATTCCGTCTGTCTTGGGCCGTCTTATATTTCCTCTCGTCTGCTGCCTCTTGGGTCTCCGCGCGAGGCTTCACTTTTTTGGTGAGCCGTTTCTTCCTCGTCTTCCCACATCTAAATAGACATCAACAACAGTATTCATTTGGTTCTCTCATCTTTATTCGTGGTCTCCTCATCTACGCCACCAGTTCTTCGGTGCGTGCGGTGGTCTCTTCATTCTGAGTGTTGACTCACACAGAGGCTAGCGGGTTGTGATTCTCCTCTCTAGCCTGTCTCCATTCATTTTCGTGTCCCGGTCTTCTACGCCTCGTCCTTGGGTCTTGTTTCTCTGGTTTGTATCTTCTGCGCCCGACAAGTCATTTATCAAGACTAATGCTATCGACAGGTTCTATTCGCATCTCTACGTCGCTCCCTCGTTACGCTTGTCTCGATGCGCCCTCCTTTGGACTCACGATCACTCCATGAACTTCACAATTTATCAGTTCGGTTCGTTGGCCTTCTTATTTGATACTTCAAAGGCGAATATGCAGTGTTCATACTTGTGCTTGGCGGCACGCTCGACTCTTCAAAGCATTGCGCTCACTGACTGCATGATCTTCGACTACGATGTGTCAACTGTTTGTAGCCCTGCGTCTGTACATTCGTGTACTAGATATGCAATATTACTGTTTTTTTCTGAACTTGAATTATGGGGAGCTTGTGTCCCCGAATACCCTAAGGACACTTACACGATGGGGCGTTCAATTATATCTTGCGGTAGATCTCGAATCAAGACGACGGCAAGTCCGCGCGTCTGCGGGCGTACGCCATGCAATCTCATTCCGATCACGTGATTTGAAACGAGGTGTTACGGACGCGTCACGCCGTACGGAGTGGTCTGTAGCCTTCATTGTCTGCCTAATTACAGCAAGCATCCCCTTCGTATTTTGCGTACTTTCGCATATTTCCTGCGCTACGGATATGCCGGACGAATCCCTGAAAGCTTACTTGGCGGCCAAATATATGTCTGGTCCCAAGGCGGACGCCATTCTCTCTCGCGCGTCCTCTAGCACAATTAAGAAGAAGAAACGCAAGGCCGCTGGCTCCGGCCCTGTGAAGTCTGCAGGGGCGGCTTCGTCGATGATACAGGACGATGACATTTCTGGTTGGGACAATGGTGCACGCGACGGTGAGGACGACGACATTGAAGAGGCTGTGGTCGCTGCGGACCGTGGCTTCAAGAAACGGCAGCGAATGGACGAGAGCTCTGGATGGGCTACCTTGCGCGAAGGCGACGGCATGAGGGAGAGCCCGCCTCCAGCTGCAGATGAACAGCCCCAAGTGGTGGAAGAAGAGACGTCTACCTTCAAGGGTGGCCTCATTACTTCTGCACAATTGAAGAAGTCTCTCCCGCGCGAGAAGCCTGCGAAGCGGCCCGCTGAGATCGAACGTCAAGAGCGCGAGGCCGCACAGGAGACCGTGTATCGAGACTCTTCCGGGAGGAAGATCGACCTTACTGTCGAGCGTGCTGAAGCAGCACGCAAGAAACGCGAACGGGAGGAGGAGGAGGCGCGAAAGATGGAGTGGGGAAAAGGTCTTGTGCAAAGGGAGGAGGCTGAGAAGCGAAAGCGGGAAGAGGAAGCGATGCGTACTCGCTCTTTCGCCCGAACACGAGATGACGTAGACCTAAACGAGGAGCTGAAGGCACAAGAGCGGTGGGATGATCCTGCAGCTGCGTTCCTAACGGTACGAGCATGTCATGATTGGAAGAAGGCACACTGTCTGACTTTCGGTTATGCAGAAAAAACGGTCCAAAGGCCCGAGGAAACCTGAATATTCGGGGCCACCCCCTCCACCTAATCGCTTCGGTATCAAACCAGGATACAGGTGGGACGGAGTTGGTGAGTGGATGCCTCATCTATCAAATCGCATAGCCGGAACTGAATCGCATACTATTGCTACTTAGATCGAGGCAATGGCTGGGAGAAGAAACTCTTCCAGCGCCAGAACGAGAAGAGACGACGGGGGCTGGAAAGTTATCAGTGGAGTGTAGACGATATGTGACGCCTCTTTCTGCGATCACGACTGGCCAGATATAGCCAGCTGCTCGACGCCACACTCCACTGCTTTGCCACAACCTTTCCTATGTTACATGTTCTGGCCGTCGCGTTACTCGCACCTTCCCAAGCCTTTCGGCATCAAAGTGGACAACTTAGGTCGGGCCGTCGACTTAACGCAGTTCATAGCGCGTGTGCCACAAGAAAATGTGGCCCTGTGCTGGTTGTCAGGCGGCTCGAATATCGCGGGAGGTATTCGAGATCCACGCCGATGTCTGCGTCTGCTTCACACAAAGCTACAACGAGCGGGGCGATGTCAATTTACGTACGTTTACTCCGGTGTTAATGTACGACTAGTGATGTGTCATTATGGAGGACTCATTAATTGGATTCTTAGCAATAAAACAATTGATACGATCTTGTCGCGTCCAGGCTCCTGGCTTTATGACGCGTAAGCGCACCAGAGCGAGGGCGAATATAATGGCAGAAAATGGTTAGTGGCTGATACGTGTTGAAATGCTGACGTTGGCGAGCATAACTGATTAAGGGTTGTACTTGTCATTTGGTCCGCAGGCAATGCTCGGGATGCACCCCTTGATCACATCAGGCTTACTATGCATAGCCCACAACAGCAAGTCGTTGTATTAGAGTCCGAAGGGCAACAGTAAGCACGAAGCAGCTAGAGCTCGCAGATTTAAGCCAAAATGGTACAGTATTATGCTCACACATGGCGGTAAGATACCTAGTCTAAACGTTTGTAACGATTGTGAAGTATAATAGGGAACCATGTGCCTGCGCTAACGGGCCGCTAGCTGTCGTCTAGCTCAATGGTCTGCATGACGTAAACAGAAGGGAGATCTTCCACAGGGTTCCACCCAGGTCGCTTTCTAATCTCTATGGCCTTCATCTTGAGGAAGAGTCGGGAACTCAGAGCGTTGTCCAGTGCCCACGCAACTCTGACGGTAAGAACTGAGTATCGAGATGTTCCTAATCCTCAACGTGTACACATACGCAGGTGTCAGAAATATGAACGCCGCCTGGGATAGTGAGCGGAAGTCGTCATGTAATGGAAATTAGGTGAACATACATTTCCAGAGACACTAGGAAGTAACTGAGCCAAGCGTAGGGCTGGGGGCAGGTCAGGAAGGCTTGCCCCATACACGCGATTTGTATGACTCACCGAAGAACGCCTGTCCGACATGCTCGTAGTAAGAGTGCAAGTAATGGGTTGAACAACACCGGATACGCACCAGGAAGATGAACGCACCATCACGATTGAGGTTCGTGATTATTTCTGCGTTGTGTCGTCGAGGCCGGTTCATTGCGTTGGCAATCAGTATCGCAAAGACGTAAACATCGTATAAGAGCTGCGACGGGAGAAGCAGGCATCAACGATGCTCGCGCATGACGGCCTAAGTACGTACCATACCGCCCCACACGCCCTGTGTGTAGTCTACTATGAGTCCGTGATATGCTGCCGGGTTGATCACGCATATGTTGAGCGGGGCCGAATAGGACATCGCACCTATGTCTTTCATCAGCGCTCCAGCATGCAGAGCGATGCGGAGGAGCCAACCGAATGATCGCAGTGTGGTCAAGATCGCGAAAGCCAACGAAGTCCCTAGACATACAATAAATCCTCCGACGAGCGCATACTTGACTGACTTCCTGTTGTCCCATATTCCGACAATTCGAAGTAAAAGCGCGACTAGGTCAGTGTCAGTCATCGAACTTCTAGTCCTGGTAGATTTGGCTAACATTGTGACAAGGCACTGCCAAATATGCCGTATGTGCACACCACTACAACGAAGCCATGACACCTGTATAGAGGTGATAGTTTTGTCCGCCATCGACCGTATGCAGAGATGCAAACACTCACGTCTGCATTGGTTACCGAATGAGCACGTGCAGCACACACAAAAAGAGCTGATCAGACTCACTGAAGTCGATATAGGAGGCCTAAATCCAGCGAGGACTATTTGGGCGAATCAGCCGCCGTACAGTGCATTGGCAAGCCAACGACATACTGTATGCAATGAAGATCATGCTCAACTCTCCACCATAGCGGTTGACCATGACGATGGACTGGAGAATAGACCATGACCTGGGTTGGGACCACACCAATTCGAGTTCGTCGCCAAAATTCAAAAGATGGTCAAAAAGGGAAACAGTCAGAGCCACTCCTGAACGTGAACCCCCGTCAGCCGTGTGGAGTGCAATATTGATCGCTATAACATACCAGACATGTACTTTGTTGCTTCGAAAGCACGTAAATCCAAGAGTGTCGCCGACATCATGACATGCCAGATGGACTGATGGGCGAAGGAGCGTAGGGGTTATTGAAGCCGCAGCCTTCGCGGCGGTAGCCTATACAAATACGGCGGACTATATGTACGACCCTGAGTGCCGAGCGCTAGAGTCCATATTTGACACATTTGATACACTGGGTGGCCGGCAGAGCGCACTGCTCCCGATCCGTTCGAGGCACATGTCTGTATACATACTTGGTCAAGCTGAATTATGGCATGTAAGGGAAGATCATCTCAGCGGGTCTTGCACATTGAAAATGATATGGATTCGAGAGGACAGCTATACCAGTCCAAGCTGTGTGGTCGTTTACACATATTCGCTACCTATTCGAACCCAACTGCTCATAAGAGACCTGCAGAATGATGATTGCACTGACATTACTAGGCATTCGACTTAGAAGCGTACCTGCGTGTTGATTGCTTGCTTATGAACTCAGAGCCGTTAGTTTCGCTAGTTGGGTGATGTTAGGCCCTACGAATGGCATCTCCTGTCCAAACCACTGGCATGTTGAATGAAACCTGACACTGTTCTGCCTCAAATTTCAACTTCTCCACAACATACCACCATGATGTCAGATGCCGACACACTTTGACAAGGATCATGACCTCGGACTCACTAACTGTATAGTGGAATCTATCCGTGGCCTCATGAGGGACCACACACTGATGCAAGGACCAATCTTCTTATCCAGTTTCATCTTATCGATGTAGAAATCGAGTGAAAACCGACACATTCCAGCGGTCAAGACCACAAGTGCCTGAAGCCATGAATGTTACGTAATACATGTACAATCCAACGGGCGTCTGTTATGGGCCGATCCTCTATTTCCACCACCACCAGTTGGTCTAGGGTCTTGCTTCAGCTTCAGCAAGTGAACAAGATCATCGACCCATTGAGCGATCCCCCTATTTGTCGACGACCTTGTCCATCTGTCACGCTCGTAATCTTCGCGGACGACATTTAAATCACTCGGTACATACTCCCGACTCACACAGCATCCTATTCGGCAGAACGACGGACTCTGGTAACTTGGGCGAATGTAGGTAAGAACTTGTAGAGTGAGCACTACGCGGCCAATAGGGTACAAGTCTCCTCCCGTAGCTCAAGAAGGTCTGCTGACATCATTTACAGCTTTGCTTTACCGAGATGGACATTCTCTCCTATGATGATCTTGGAGCTTGGGAAGACCTGGATGCTGTCTCCGTGGTTGGAGAAGAGGTAGTGTGTGATCCCAGGACAATGTCAGTGCTCCGTGACTACATAACATAACAACATTCTAACTGTCCACCAGCGACCCTAGACCTACTCCGCCAGACATTGCTGATATTGACAAGTCAATCCAAGGGCTTGAAGCGGAACTGACACGACTCAAGCTCAGGCGGTCGCATCTACTCGCCGAGCGAGCTCTCGTCGGGCGACTACCCTCGGAATTACTTTCCCGCATTTTTGAACTCGGCGTTCACGAGCATGTGAAAATGCTGCATGCTATATCGCTAGTTTCGCGTCACTGGAACAACGTCGCACTTGCGACGCCGTCACTGTGGACGTACATTGTCCTGGATCCCGAATGGGGCATCGACCGATTGCCGGCTTTTATGCGGAAGCTGCGCGTCTGTCTGGAGCGCTCACAGGCGTGCAAGCTACTGGTCGACATTGACATCGGCTACATGGATGCGGAGGACGTGCAGGATATTATGGTCGTGCTCAAGCCGCATCTGGTGCGGTGCTTTGACTTCCGCCTATCTGCACAGTCCTGGGACACAATGTCGCCCATCCGCGTACACATCACTACCCTAGGACCGGCCTTGGAACGACTAAGTCTCCGTATTCACGCATCAGAGATACACGACGAAACGCCGTACTGCTCGCTTCTCGTTGAGCCATGCCCGCTGCTTAGGAGCATAACACTCGAACACCTCCCTCTTGTATGCGTGGGCGTAGACGTGCCCAAGCTACGCACTCTATGCCTAATGCGCGACCGGCAGGTCCGACGAACCACATACCGCCGCTTCGGCATCGCATTCAGAGAGTTGCTCTCACTTATGAGTACCACAGTCGCACTGCAGAACCTCCGGCTGCAGTCGGTCGCGCTGCAACTTGATGGCAACGAGGACATCTTCCAGAGCACACCACCGGTGACGGTCGTCTCGTCATTGCGCTCGCTCTCCTTCCACCACGTAGACGCCGCCAACGTCTCGCTCTTCTTCGAGTCAGCAGCACTTCCTGCGCTTGAACGTCTCACCGTGTGCATGGAGCCCAATGCGGAAGAGAACATGCACTGGCTGTCCCGTCTCTCTGTCTCTGCGCCGGCGCGCCTACCTGCCCTGTGTCGCCTCGAGCTCCGCGCGTGCAATATCGAGGGCGCGGCGCTTGTCCCCTTCGTACGCGCACTGCATCAGCTTCCACAGCTGAGGGCACTATCGCTGTCGTCACCCCGCATGGGCTTTGTGGGTACGCAGATATTCGAGCTACTCGGAACCCCACCGACACCGCCCAGTGTGTGGTTACTGCCCCGGCTAGAAGCACTGTCTGTTCACCAGTGCATGGACGTCTCTGGGCACGAGATGCTCCGCCTCGTCCGGGCGCGCATTGATAGCCCGTCTCTCGAAGCAGAGCACATACGGTATCTGAAGATTTCACAATGCGAGTCGTTCGACCCAGACGCCCACGAACTGTTGAAATCGCTCGTGCCGGTTGTGCGGATCTCATGAATCTACTACTTTGAGAAAGTAACCTGCCGGTGCATCCGGTTGCTGTTCTTCTATTTTTTCCATGTCTTTCACCGCTCAAATTGTGACTAAATTTATGTACAAGTGTATCAGATCATGGTGCTTCTTGACGGAGGCACAATCTCTGTATTGTCACCTCACAGATGGGTGGACATCATGAAACGTTGCGTAGGCAATAATGAAGGATGCGGATTTCGACTGTAACGGTTATCCCAGAGTGTCAAGCGTGAATGCTATTTGCCCAAGCAGATGGCCCCTTTCGAGAAGTCCGAGGGGCTCATAAGTCGTGTCCCACTCGGATAGTGAGTCTCATCAAATAAGTGGTATAAGAGAGTGTGCTCGTCCTTCCTGACGAACGCACCCCTATGAATGCTGACGGTTATGCAGGCGACACGTGAAACCCATCCATCATGTATGCGGATGCGTGTATTTTCTGTGGACTACCAAATTCCGGAAGTGTAATTTTCATTCGCACGCCTAGACGCTACTTGTTCGAACTGTCATATCATGTTGTATAATCAAGCCCGAGGCCGATGTAGAGTGAGACCTGCCAGTGGGATCAGATCATGTTCCTAGAGACCCTCACCCATAGACTCAGAGCGTGTCCGCTGAGCTCGGGTAGGTGGTTACTCAATCGATGTCATAGAATCCACATCTGATGAATCATGGCATACTTTAATCAACATTCAACCCATCCGTACGATAAACTGACTAATTTCAGTATCCTAGGTTCTCCGACAATGTTGTGTGCGCTGGAACACAGCACATTGGCAGGCAAGTTCTCGAGTACCATCGTCATCAATATTTCATACCCTCGAGTTTTGTCAAGATGTAATAATCTCACATCAACATGTACAATATTAATGTCGGACATCATTCCATCTCATCATATTGTGCAATGATTTCTCAAAGATTGCATTTTGAAACCGTCTTGTCGTTCGCAGGCGGCGCTAATGCTCATGATCTTCCATATGAATACGAGCCACCTCGAGAACCCCTCATCGCTTTCTCTCACTCCCCCCTTGTTGGAACAACGGTGCGAACGGCGCGGGGGCGCGTTTGTCCACGGGCGTAGCGATGCCCGTCAGGGACAATCGCGTGCGGTACGTACATCGCGCGGGGTCGTTATATACTACGATAGGGGCCTCCGGCCCCCGGCTACTCGCGCGCCCGAGCTTGCGAGCTCGTTCCTGACCGCGCGGGTCAGCGTGTTTCAACACACTCCCTCGAGCGAAGCAAGCGAGGGCTCGCGCACACTCCCTGCTTCTCGGCACTCCCTCAAACTCGGCATTCATCCTCACACCCTCTCGGCGGGTCCACGATCCATCCCCATGTCCGACATCCGGGACGATCTTCATCAACTCCTCGGCATCAACTTCTCGGCTCCAACTCCTTGGCTCCAGGTTCGATCGGTGCTCTCGACGAGCGGTTCTTCGGTTCGGCGGTGCTCTCGGCGAGCGGTTCAGGTGCTCTCGGCGAGCGGTTCGGGTACGGCGGTTCAACGGTGCTCTCGGCGAGCAATTCAGCGGTTCGATGGTTCGGCAGTTCGACATTCGACGGCGGGGTTCAATCGGGTCCGCGTCAGGGTTCGGCAATCGTACGGGTTCGATCAAGATGGCTTCGGCCCCATCCAGGCAAGCGGTTCGGCAGCGACGGCGGCGGGAATATTCTGCGGCGCAGCGGCGGCCAGCAGAGCGTCGACAGCGACGGCATGCGCGCGGGATCCGGCGACGCAGCGAGTGGCAGGCTTCAAGCTGCCCCCAGAGCTTTGCATGGTAGTAAACCCCCAGGCAGGCTGACGCGATTGTGTTGGAACAACGGTGCGAACGGCGCGGGGGCGCGTTTGTCCACGGGCGTAGCGATGCCCGTCAGGGACAATCGCGTGCGGTACGTACATCGCGCGGGGTCGTTATATACTACGATAGGGGCCTCCGGCCCCCGGCTACTCGCGCGCCCGAGCTTGCGAGCTCGTTCCTGACCGCGCGGGTCAGCGTGTTTCAACACCCCTACTATACACTTCTGTCGTTTTTGCCTGGCACGATGTCAGTTACTCTTGAGGCGACGAGATATTTGTCCGGTATGTCCTGCTACTAATCTAGACAATACACAGCTGATTGAACCCCCTCAGGAATGGCGCTAACCATCTCTCTTTTCGATCAGTTACTAAACTTTTCCAAAGAAATAGAGCTAGTATGGGCCCATCCCAGATTGTGGACATCTATGCAATTCATTGTGGTAATCAACCGGTATGGCGGAGGGGCCAGCATGCTATTCATCGCATATGGTGTGTCGTAGGCCGTCAATGTTCTGTTCCGCACCTGAAACTCGAAGCTAGTACTCGCCGGTTATAGGCCACTTATATCAAACTTCGTGAGTAACAGCTGTATGAATATTCCATACATGCTGAGCGCACGTCACAGACGTAAGGCTCAAGGTGTCCTAGTCCAAATATTAGCAGCAGACACCAATGATACACCTGTGCAGATGTCACGATCTTGTCGTCGTTGCACTAATATATGGTGTCATCGGCAGTGTGTTGTCTCAATGTCAGCGTGGCTATCCAATGATTTGAGTGTAACGGTTGACATTCAATCAGTCATGCTTTTACTTCGAGCTGTCAGCTTGTGGGACAATATGATTTCAATCAGATACGCACTCATAGGGGGGTTTGTTGTATGTCTTGGAGTATCGTTCGCATTCACAGTGTCGAGTGCGCTCCGATCAATCGGCAAGTATCAGCGCTTGAATATCGTTTGCCTTGAGAGAATGACTCGAGGCATTGGTGTAATAGGTGCTATATCGTATTCTCCTGAGATCAACGCATGTGTAGTCAACGAGAACGCATATCACGGGCGTATTACTGGTTACATGGTAGGTGCATGGGGCGGAATGGTGCGCAGTCCAATTCTCTCCGCAGATAGTCAGACTTCGGAGGTTGCCGACATACCAAGATTATGGACAGGCACGGTGCAGTCGCGGAACATTCCAAGTAGAGTGGGTGAAGGTACGAGGCACAATGCGATGGCAGCACGGAGTGACGAGTTCGACCATCCACTGAGACGTTTTTTGCATCTCGTGTTCATTGTGGTCTACGGCTGCACTGAATCTGTCGAGTAATTTACGAGAAGATACATACAAAGTTCGAAACAATATGATCGATTCCTAGAATATCCACATCGAGCTGCTAGCCAGCCTGGCAGCCTTTATTGTTCATGAGCACTCAACGTAGCAGAGATTTTAAAGACAATACCTTTGCATGTTCGCTCGTTGCACACTTGTGTTATACAGTATGTCCGCGCATCTTCAGTGGCTCGAGAAGCGTGTGAAGCAGTGAGATCTTTGGCAGTTTTCGAGAACATCCATCCAGAGCTATGCAGTTACGCTTTTGGGGTTGCCCTAGAGACAATATGATACTATGCCACGTCCTGACTTCTCCGATGAGCTCAGCCTTAAGGTCGTCTTTCAAAATCAAAGTGATGGTTTGTTCCTTTTCTGCCGATGGCAACGGACAATGAACAAGCTCCCATATCCCCGATTGAACCCCTTAACCTTTGGGTATGCTGATTGAATCACTGCGAGTCGCTAGTGATGAGCAAAGCCCGGCTTGAGGCCATCAGGCCGAGCCCTGCAAGGCGGCCTGCAGCGACTTAGGCCAAGGCTGAGAGCAGAGCCGTGGGCAGGCGGCTCTCGGGTGCCACCAGGAAAGGCGCAGAGGTGTGCAATACAGTGAAGACACGCACCTCAAAAGCATACTGATACTGCGCAACAAACATGCTCTTTCTTTCAAATTCCACAGAGCTCTTGAACGCGCGATGGTCATTGACTCTATATTTAGCAAATTGGTAACACCCCCAATTGACGACAGATCGACTGGCCTTGAATGGGCGGCTTTCGAGGCGGTAGTTTGTCTTGCACAAGTATGAAAACCCAGTAATAAGTCATTAGTATTTATGTTTTGTTAATTTCACCTTTGTAGGGTCTCAGGTGAGCTGCGGCCTAAGCACACGAGCGCTGAGCTGTGCCACAGGACCCGGCCAGACCCAAGAACCAAGCGAGTAATGAGGTGGAGTATCTCAGGACTGTCATGACACGGCCTGTGAGATCGCTCCAGCTGCGCAGCGCTCGATTCACATCAACATACTTATTATATGTCAAAGTATTTATTGGCGCGCGCTAGAGGGGGCGCCCATCTGCGCGGGCTTGCCCGAGATTTATGTTTGAAGCTTACGCTGTCCCCACCGGAGGACCGGTTCAAAGTCAGCGAAGAAACGTGAGAGGCAACGTGAGCAGATGATGCTGATGGTAAACCTAAAGAAGCGTCCGAGCGAGCCGCAGGGAATGTCTAGGCCCGAAGGACCGCATGCCCACTGTGCCGGTGATGGCATATAGTCGGGGAAGCTCTCGGCGCACGCGCACGGGTGCAGACGAGAAGCAGGGAGTCTTTGGGAAGTAGGGGAGGCGAATGAGCCGCGAAGGTGCCTGTGGTCTCACGGAGGCGGTGGAGAAGTACGGCTAGGGCAATAAGAACAAGAGAACGAGCCAATTCGAGCTGCGTATCAGAGAGGGCGGATTGTGCGTGGTGAGCTTCGGAGAGGGGTGCCCAATGGAGGACGACTGACGAAAGATAAAGACAGCAGCAACGGATCGGGTCGGGCCCGGAGGCTGGGCGTGTGAGCGTGGGCATCGAACGTGGGGGTAGCAAACCGTATTCTATGGATCGCCTAGTGCGAGAGGGACGACAGCGTGAGGCTGTCCATGGGAAGTGGATATCGACGTGTGTCGTGCGAAACGAAGTGTTGTTGAGCCGTGGCGGCGAGGGGGTGGCAGCTGTCGGGCGAGTGACCGGAGGGTCGATTATCTGCAAGCGCTGCCTGAGTGATAGGCGCCGCTCGAGATGCGATCGTGCCCGGCGGCTCGGTTCCTTTCAGCTGCAATACTGCGTATGCGGATCCGGAATATGAGCAGAGGGGCAGGCGAACGGTGGGTGTTTTCTGAGATATCTTCAACGAAAAGAATGCAAAAAATCGGCGAAGCGTCGGAGGCGGGCGGCGTGCGGTAGGCGCAGGAGCCGAGGGAGGGCGGGCGGCATGAGATGCTTCGCAGGGCGTCATCGCGCGCCTACTATATAAGGAGAAGCCGGCGGGACGAGATGGCGTGAGGGAGAGATGAGATCGGGCTCGCCGCCACGTGTGAGGAAGGCCAGGGACGGGCGGACGCGCTTCCTCTCATAAGTAGACACTGCCAGGCGCTCCCTCGCTTCTTCCTTCCTCCTCAACCACCACCTCCATCTCCGCCCATCATGTCCTCCTCTATCTACAACGTCCGTCCACTCCTCCTTTTCCCTCTTTCTCCCTGCAATCGCTGACCTCGATGCAAACAGCATAAGCATCTACAACCCACAGGCGCTTCCACTCAGGGCCCGTCCCAGCAGCAGCACAGCCAAGCCCGGCTCAACGACTGCTTCGACACCATTCGCCAGGAATTCGATGTCCTGGCCCAGGAGCTGACAGTGCTGCGTACTCAGCGTGATGATCTCGACAACAAAGGTGCGTGTGTTGCTCCTGAATGTCGTTCATCGCTTCTTACAAGTTCCCTCCATGTCCCCATCAAAAACCTCTATCGCCGTCTACTTCCGGCCGCGTTCACCATTGGCTTACATGCATATGGCTCATGATCGTGCCTGCATGCCATCGCATACTGTTTTCGAACTGTCGAATGTCTCCGCATCCCACTCCGAAACTTGAACAAATTACATTTCCAAATGCTTCCAATTCGCATGGAAATCCGTCATGCGTATTGACGAACTCCTCATGGATGCTATTTGCTATGGGTCCCGCACGGACACTATTGCGCGCACAGTTACTGGCCAGGTCAACGAGCTCAACATCATCCGCCAGTCGCTATACGAGCTCGAGACACAGCATGGGAAGATCCGTGATCAATATGAGAACGAAATCCGCGCTCTCAGGGCCGAACTGCATGGGATTCGCTCACAAGGCCGCGATACCCTCGGGCTTGCATCGCTCGGACGCGATCGCCCCGATCCTGCTCTGCGAGGTGAACCCTCGATGCGCGGCGAGCCCCCTCTACGTGGTGATCCTCAAACTCCACGCGAACGCGAGCTTCTACGTGAGCGGGAACGGGAACGCGACGTGCCTCGTGACCGCGATAGAGACCGCGACAGAGATAGGGACCGAGACCGCGACGTAACCATGGCGCCAGCACCCGGGATGGCGCTCAGCAGAGGGGAGGCCGTCGGGCGGGACGCACTTGGACTGGGTCGTCCGACTGCAGTTGGCGGGCCGGGAAGTGAAGTGGCTCTGAGCGCGTTGCCGTTGACACCAGTTGGCTTGGGCCCCGGAGGGTACGACTACTATGCGCGTGAGCGGGGAGACAGGGGTAGTATGAGCGAGCGCGAGCGGATGGCCGAACGTGACAGGGACCGACTGGCGGATCGGGACCGCGACCGCGCGGACAGGGACGCTCGGGAGGTGAAAAGGATCAAGACAGAGAGGATGAAGACGGACCGCGGTGGTAAGTTTATTTACTTTGGTCGTGCTTTCTTTTTCCCCGCTCCTTCCATATACTCATCGATCCATCCCTTCCCTTCCTGTCCGTGCTTGATTCAGACCCTTTCTCCCCGGGCATGTCGCACCCTAGCGCGCACCACCAGCACCACCAGAGCATTTCTCTCGGGCCGACACCCGGTCCTTCCGCGGGCCCCCCTCCGAACCCTTTGAACACCCCAACGGGCCCATCCAGTGCCTCTAACGTCCCCCCGGCGAATGGCAGTGCGACGGCTAATGGGAGTGGGCCAAGCACAAATGGAAACCCAAATGTGACGCCCAAGCTCCCGCCGGCGCCCGGCGTGGGCGTGATGGGCATAGGTGGGGCGCTTCCCCCGCCTCCGTATACGGGACCGGGGCAGCAGGGCCCGGGACAGCAAGAGGGACCCGCGGTTAACGGGGGAGGTGAGTGACCGTTCGTGATGGTGCGCGTGTTGGTGGTTTGTTTTGGATAGAGTGTATACAAGACTTGTGTCTCTCATTATATTCTTGTGCGGCAGCGACATTTTACTGAAAATGGTATTTCTACCAGCAAACCCGCCCTTTCCGCACACCCCCACATCATCCAACAGTCTTCCACCAAACGCACTTCCCCTTCCCCCCTCCGCCGGACTCCCACCGCCTCCCTCTTCGCATGGAAACCCAAACGCCAACTCTAATCCCGGGGCGCCTGAGCCTATGGTAGTTGACTTAAGCGTTGACCCGCACTCGGTGCCTCCAGAATTCAAGAAGGAGGGCCCGGACTGGTTCGCGATCTTCAACCAAAACGCAGCGGCTGGCAAGGATGCGGGTCCGAGCGGCAAGAAGCGTTCGCTGGACGTTGGCCTGGTACACACATTGATGCATGAGAGGTGCGCGGTGTCCATGCTTTATCTGGAGAGTCAGAAGTATTGACGCTTGTTACACGTGCAGCGTGGTGTGTTGTGTGCGCTTTTCCGCGGACGGAAAGTTCCTTGCGACCGGGTGCAACCGCACCGCACAGATCTACGACACGAAGACAGGGCAGAAGACATGGTGCGCGCGCTAGTTCCTATTTATTGATACGTTCTGATTGGCGCCGCAGTGTGCTGGTGGATGAACAAGCGAGCAAGACCGGCGACCTCTACATCCGCAGTGTATGCTTCAGCCCCGATGGCAAGCTGCTGGCGACAGGAGCCGAAGACAAGCAGATCAGGGTGTGTGCGGTTTCTGCGATTCTTGGGCTCTACACTTCTCATATCACTCTTGCGCAGATCTGGGACATCGCAAAGAGGAAGATACGGACGGTCTTTGAAGGACACCAACAGGAGATTTACTCTCTGGACTTCTCGCGCGATGGGCGCTTAATAGTATCGGGCTCGGGTGACAAGACTGCACGAGTATGGGACATGGCAGACGGCAACACGAGCAAAATCCGTGAGTAAACCCGTTTTTCTTACTGGGAATGACGTATTCACGCGGTTTGATGAAGTCTCGATCAACGAGGATACGGTTGATGCTGGCGTCACATCAGTATGCATCTCGCCTGACGGCAGGCTGGTCGCCGCGGGCTCGTTAGACACGATCGTGCGCATCTGGGACGTACAGACAGGCCAGCTTGTTGAGCGGCTGAAGGGTCATCGCGACAGTGTGTACAGCGTCGCGTTCACCCCCGACGGCAAGGGTCTCGTGAGCGGCAGCCTGGACAAGACGCTCAAGTACTGGGACATCCGACCAATCCTGGCTGGCGCGCGCAATGGTGCCGGCGCCCTCGCGCAGAGCAGTTCAAACATCGTGAAGAACGGTGTGAAGGAGGGAGGAGAGAAGGGCAGCCAGAGCACGATGAACTTCACTGGCCACAAGGTGAGTCTAGCTTGTCTTGGAGACTCGGATATTTTTGCTCAGTCACTGTTGCAGGACTACGTTCTGTCGGTGGCTGTATCGCACGATGGCCAATGGGTCGTGTCAGGCTCAAAGGACCGGGGAGTCCAGTTCTGGGACGCGAAGACTGCGATCGCGCACTGCATGTTGCAAGGTCACAAGAACTCTGGTATGTGTAATGTACTTGCGTTCATTGGATACAGGGTTTGCTCACATCGATCGAATCTCAGTGATCTCGATAGATCTCAGTCCATCAGGGAACATCCTGGCCACCGGAAGTGGGGACTGGCAAGCACGAATATGTGAGTACCTCGTCGACCTCGTCGAATACTCGAAATTGATCCCGTGCCTCCAGGGAGTTACAACGTTCAGCAATGATTGCGGCCACGGTCATTACATATCCTATCTGCCACCCGTGTCGATTTATCCTCCCTGCTGTTTATTTGTATGCTCTTGTCTACGATCCCTCGCCTCATGACCGCAACGCTGATGGTGTACGCCTTCATATTCTCGATGACTCTGGTGTGTCCGCTGGTGCAAGTCATTGTTAATTTCCGCCCCTCCCTTGTCCGGGCGCTGCCTGGCGTAACCCCTTCTCATCTCGATCTGCCTTGTATGTAGGAGGATATGATGTGCTGTATTCGGTATGTGAAAACACGTATACCCTGTCTATCTCCAAAAGAAACTAGACATGTCGTCGTCGCTACTGTGTCAATTGTATTCTTATGTTCCCGATATGTCAAGGCGGCCGGCCGATGCGATAGGTAATCACGCTGCATTCGACAACTTCAACTCAAGATGCAGCCATGACAGGAATATTTGTATGCTTATGATGAGACCCGCTCAAAGGGGAAAACTCAAGAGTCAAACAAGTCAGCGTGCGACGCACATGACCGCGTTCGGCACGCGTGATCAGACGCGTTAAGCTTCAAACCCGAAGCTTGTGATTCCGGCTTCGTGATGGACCATATAAGTGCAGGAGCCCAGTGAGGCATTGCACGTTAATTTCACACTACATCCTACATTCCGACCACTTCGTGGACTGGAAGTGAACATGATTGTAACCCCGTTAACGAAATTGCTCGGGATTCGAGTGTAAGCCGCCGTCACTGAAGTCCTTCCAATTGCGACACCCGCTAATGTAGAGCGTCAGGCCCGTTGTGCAGGGTGGGATGCAATGGTATGTGTAGCCGGTCTATTGAGAATACTCTTTCGATTTGTGAACGCACCTCTGCATGAAGGGTCGGGGTACCTCAACTGGCCGCGGCCGTCTCCAATGCTGGCGGTCTAGGTAAGTCGTTTGAGCTCACTCTTATTACCAAAGGGTCATCAATTGAGTACAGGTATATTGACCGCCCTGACGCAGCCAAGTACGGATGCACTTCGACAAGCCATCAGAGAGACGAGGAAGCTGACGTCGAAGAACTTCGGCGTGAACATCACGTTGCTTCCGTCTATCAATCCGCCGGATTACGAGGGTTACGCACGGGCCGCTCTCGAGGAGGGCGTCCGAATATTTGAGACTGCTGGCAATAACCGTGAGTGTCTGCTCTGTGCACAAGTTCTCTCAACATTTTACATGTTCTCACTTGATACACTCCTCGATCCTCTCGTTCGTATAGCCGGCCCTGTTGTCAAACTGCTGAAGTCGCACGGATGCATTGTAATACACAAGTGTACGACGATAAGACACGCAAAGGTACGGCCTTCCAGGACATCTGCTAGTCTGAATGCCTCATAGGCAACAATGTTCGTCAGGCTGGCGAACGACTTGGTGTAGACGTTCTGAGTATCGATGGTTTCGAATGTACGTACATACTCGCAACTTCTTCATGGGTTTACCTACTAGTTACTTTTAGGCGCCGGTCACCCAGGGGAGGACGACATTGGAGGCCTTGTTCTGGTACACACCTTAATATATCTGTGCAGAGCTTCCTCATCTGAAACTCTGAGCAGCTCGCACGTGCAGCGCAAGAACTTAGCGTACCATATATCGCCTCAGGTGGGATCGCAGATGGTCGTGGGCTGGCTGCAGCTTTGGCACTTGGAGCAGCAGTACGCTTTCCCCCTTAAACTAGTGTGTTCATCGCTCACTGTGTTTTCCATGTGATCCTGGTAGGGAGCGAACATGGGTAAGTGCATCCAACCCTCAGTAATCTAAAACATTCGTTTATCTCAAGCTGTTCTATGAAGGCACACGATTTATGTGCACAGTAGAAAGGTACCCGCCCTCGCAGTCCGTGCTTTCCATCATGTCTAACGATATCGGCAGCCCAATACACCAGAGCATCAAGGACAGGATCGTCGCCTCCACTGAGCTCGACACCGTGCACATCTTTCGCACGCTACGCAATACTGCCCGGGTCTACCGCAATGCGGTTTCGAAGGAAGTCGTCGCACTCGAGCGGCGCCCGGGCGGCGCGAAGTTTGAGGAGCTGCGCGACCTGGTCTCTGGCCAACGTGGCCGGAAGGTGTACGAACTGGGTGATCCTGATTACGGCATCTGGAGCGCAGGCATATCTGTTGGGCTGATCAAGGATTGTCCCACGTGCGAAGAGCTTCTTATCAATATTGAGAAGGAGGCAGAGGAGGTAATCGATGGACTGGCGAAACTTCGCGTCAGAGCCAAGCTCTGATTGATGTTTAGTATATTTTACTTCATCCAGTATGTATGTACACTAGCTATTTACGACAGTTTCTGATGAACAAATATCTGTTAAGGGGCCTCGCATTCATATGCACAAATGGGGCTCCAGAGGATCGCCACGGAAATCACCTTGGTGAGGATCGCTTGCATACTGTTGTAGTCGTCCAAACCTCCGCGCGATACGCAGGAAGCGAATGTTCTCGACTACTTAGCGCTGGTCGACTTCCTCGTCGCCTGTTTCCCGTTTATTTGAATCAAATCCTGCTCGTACAAATTTGGTTCTATTGCAGGAATAGCTCAAAATTCAAGTCCTTATCCTGCAAAGTTTTGGCAGCTTGCGTTCAGGATGTAAACAGACGATGTGGAGGGGGAGCGTAAGGTACGCAGGTGAATTCTGATTGTTCGATATATATGAGATATAATGACCTGACAACATTAATTGAATATATGCGAGGGCTACAGTGATCCAACGGTTCCCATACGAAGGTATTGAAAGACGAACACATACTATATTATTGATCACGAAGTCTACTGACGCTATGAGTCAACTGTCCGGTCCTCTCCTTCTCCATCCATTCCCAGCATCCCGATTTGTCAGGTTGCTCTGCGGAGTGAGCGTGTATTAGCCATGGAGTCTACATGATATAACGATCATGGAAGATCATGGAATGAGATACTCACAAAGCTTTCCCGTTGCTTCCTCGCGACGACTTTGGCGCGTGGTCTTCTAGACCGTGATGGCGTAGTACGCCAGGATGAAGCCGCTGCTGAAGCTCCTTCGTCCATCTCTGCAGCCGATGTCGCCGCGGAAAATATCAGGTCCTCCTGTATGCCGAGGACATGTGAGTTATACGGATAAATAAACATGCAAGGACTTCCTCACTGCCAAAGGCATGGCTTGAAGACTGCACCCTCCATTATCATCCGAATCATATGGCTGCTGATGAAACTTTTCCGTCAGATAGTGTCACACAGATATATATGCACGGCAGTGGCACACCGTTGTCGCAGACGCTGCACTTGTAACGATCGATGGGCTGCAGGAATTCTGTACGCATGTGTATCGTCAAAGAACGCATGCGATGCGGTCTATACCTGAACTCACAGAGTGTGGATTCACGTCTTCGTTGGCAGGTATGTCGTCAGGCTCGCCCTCGTCAATTGAGAGGACGGAATATCTGTTTGTAAACAACTTCGGGTCAGTGGCATAACCTTTAAGCCTTGGTGATCTGCTAGGTGATGAGATTGGGCGGCATGACAGAGAAGATGTGGATTGCGCATATTCAGCGAGAGGCTCAAGGTCAGAGTGTTCCCAACTTTGGAAGCTCGGGTCTATGTGACTGGGCAGGGACTGAGAGGCAACATGTCAGCGGCAAAGGAGAATCGAGGCAGATATTACTTACCGAACGGCTTTCATCATCCAGTCTTTTCTGGTGATCCTACCATGGAAATTAGTGCTACGTACCACGAGACGCCGGAGCATGGAGTACTTACGCAATATTCCTGCCACACTGTCTGTGCGAAGGAAGGATCTTTAACGCACATTTCTCGCCACTCCCTTACCATCCGGATGCTGATTTGCTTCAACTTGACCCCAGCCTCGGTACGACGAAGGCCGAAGTTAGAACCCCTAGCATGCCAGCGCACCAGAGGAGGATGCTTCGCGCCGATACCATATACCACCAGAAATTGGCCGTGATTGCCATGCTTGACGCGCCATCCCGGAATGGTATGTATGTGCTCTTCGTGTAGACCATTTGGTGCCACGGGGAGACTGAAATGACGATAGATGTAAGGAAGTTCCGCGAGACTGGCTCCACCAAAAGTGCCCATGACATAAATCTCATATGCGGGTTCAAGGCCCTCTTTTTGTCTCACATCGCTAATGAGACAAGGCCGGTCTTTGCCCAATCCTGGCGTGTTGCAGTCCGGGAGAGTAGAGGTTGAGCATGATCTTGGGCAATATCCTTCACCGAATGTTTCATCTTCGAAAATCTTTTCAAAGGGAGTCCTCAGGGACTCGCGCATGCAAAAGATGTCGCCGACTTTGGCATCTCCAGATATCGTGGTGTTGCAGTCATTTTTAGCCATAGAGCAGCGCAGGCAGGAAAACATGTCTGGTAATGGTACACACTGGCAGGCGGCTGAGCATTGGCTATTAAGCCTGAGTTTCGTCCAGTCCGAGCCAAGAGCCAGTATGAGGGGGAGACTGCATTGCAACAAACCGGGATGTCGCAATAGACCTTATACCAGCGAGTCGTGGCTAGCGAGATATTTCCTAAATCTAGTACAAGTTCACTTAGTTTTGGCTGTTCCGGCTCCGCTGATTGAATCAAGGGAGGCATGTAGCCTGAGACATATCGTGATCAGATAGCATCGATTACCCAGGGTGCCAGGGAACACAGTCAGCCTATTTGAGACGATGCTGCATTGTTGCTGGTTTCGGCTGCTGCGGGGAAATAGAACAATGCGGCTGGACATACACGACCGGCCACACTTGGTGCCACCGATCAATGATCGATCATTCCAGTGGCAGGCCATCACATGCGTCTCTCCAATTTAGGCTTTCGCCACGCCTTTGCTTTGTGCTTTGTAGTGGCTCACTGCCTCGGGCTCTTTCCCGTGATGCCTATAAGATGGCATCCTCTACCATCTATCGCCACTACCTTCTATCATCAACTTTACTATTCAACATCGACTCTCAACGTTTCAGCACTCAAGTTAACACGAGATGACGGTTTTCGCTCCTCTCGAAACTGAATATATCGTTCTTCGCATTGATCCCGTAGCTGTGGCGGAAATACTGGAGGACCCAATTCTCCTGGATGCAGCCAAATCCTTGACTCCGAAATCGTATCTCGCCTACGTTGCTAAATCCACTGTGAGTATGGATCCGACTGTCACCAGCCGTACAAAGTGCTCACGACATCAAAGGTCCTGGATTTCCCCATGCCGAACAAACCGGCTCGTGAAATTCGTGTTCAGTTTGTTGGTCAGGGCCTCCCGACACGATTTCCTCGTGATAATGTGGATGAAACAATGTGCATCCCGATACTGCCCGAGACCAAACATCCTCTGCGACGTAGGCCGCTCAAGCCGCAACCTACGTTTCCCTTTGCCAACTGCTATCACTACTTCTGTCTTGATCACTCTGTCTGCGTACCGGTACAACCATTCGAACCGGATCAGGCAACATCCCTACCTGACAAGGAGATGATCCGTTGCCAAAAGTATATGGAAGAGGATATATACAGGCTTTACCGCGGGAGGGAAGCCAGAGTCGAACATGGATCTGTGGATTCAGACTCGTGCGAAAGCGACTTTCCCAGCCCCAGCCAGCAAAAAACACTCTCCGGTCGCAGTTCGGTCGCTAGCTCACAAGAGTATTCTAGTAGTGTGTCCTCCAGTCTTCCCCCGGAACCTAATGCGCCATCTCCTCACTGCAATGAAGCTCATAGTACTTCGAAGGCTTACGGTGTCGACGTACTCGCCGATACTTATGTTGTGGCTACATCGCGCGAGCCGTATGTGCGCTCTACGCATCCGTATCCGAGGGATATCGACGCCGAGAAGCAGTTTTTGCGCGATAAAGTCTTCGGACAGTCAGACGGCGACAAGATCAAACTCGCTCCTCTTGTGTACGTATCATTAGACCTGTCTGAGCTGAAGGAGATTCCCGATCCAAACGGGTTTAGAGATGAAGTGGAGGAGCTGCTCAAGTGCGTACCTTCATTCTGTCTCGCGCATGTATTTATGCTCTCATGTATTTGCCAGGCTGATAAAGGAGTCTCGTGAACGGGAAGCTCGCGCGTCTGAGATGCAGGCAATGGAGCATGCAGCGGGAAGCTCGCATAGCTCATGGATCGACTTAGGTGATATGATTGATATCGATCGTGCTGATGCGTTTGGCACTCAATGGCAGCCACAACCTCGATGGTACAGAAGTGAGTTCGGCGTCAATATGACCGTGACGCCGCTGATATAGATACGATAGGATGCTGTGCTGCACTCATGCGGATGCTGAAGATGAAGCGCATAACTATATCGCAGTACGTAGTACGCACTACGCGTGCGGTCCGGAGACGCCTGTCTCGTCGAGAAAATTCGCAGTAAAAGTCATTATCTCATTCTGTTCTTGTTACCATCTGAGGTTGCATCTTATCTTCTCATGATCCGCATATCCGCCCGTTGGATTATGGCCTTATGCCCTATGTTTGTGCTTTGAAGACTACCTGAAAGCTGGCTAGTCCTGAACGCATGTAACCAAAATTTACAGCAGTCTGTAGTATGAATATAGTGGTAAGAATCCGTGAATGAATTTTTATCACCAATCCGGAGGCGAACGGTACGCCATCTGATCTGTTCTGCGGGCTCGTCCAAAACCGGATCCTCAGCATAAGTCACATCTACTTCTTCCACCCAAGTCATGGCGTGAACCACATCGCGCATTGCAGAAAACGGGACCTCATCATGATGCTGAACACATGGCTCATCGGCATGTACCACATCATCAGGTCATGCAATCCATTCAAGTCACGAAGACGAGGTCGGTGAAGCGAAACATGCGTGCGTACGGACGACATTGAGGATACGCACGAAGTTATTCCTTACTCGTTTACGTCCCAGCCTTAAGAATTGTGTAGTATGAGAGCTTACTCCTAAATTTACAGCTGTCAGCACATGCTTTCGCTAGTAAAAGCTGTAACACGCGACACACCTCTATGCTACGTCCTTGGTGGTTTGGACAGACGCATGGTGTCTCCAAGCACGTCCTTAGCATCTAGATCAGCGGGAGAGACTTCGCTCTTAGTATCCGCATAGACGTCCTGCGCGAATGCGGCAGCATTGCGCGCACGAGAGTCCTTGATCACCCTAATGACACATACGTAAGTCAAGGAAGAGAACGAGCCGTACCCAGTACTCACGCTATGATCGCCTCTCGCTCGTCCAAAAAGCTAACAGGGTCCAGAATGTGCTCCATCTTGCCGATCTCCAACGCTACCTTGACCAGTGAAATTATGTCAGGATCCTCGTCAGGCTCCTATGCGACCACAAGCTGAGCCAGGTCCATAATAGAGTCCATGCTCGAGGAGTCGCTATTTGATTCGATCATTGACAATTCTGACTCATTGTCAGAAGCGTTATCTGGCCCGTAGAGAACGTCGAGAGGCTGAGTATGATCGAAGTCAGAGGTCCCACTGAGTTTACCAGAAAATGGCACCATGTGCCCTGCATCAGATGGGGCAGCGGGATGGCTAGCGGAGGGTACGACGTTGTGAGCGACAGGTGATGCTGCTTCTGATCTACTGAAGGAGGCCTTCGAAGCAATTGAGTCGTCTTCCGCATCGCCATCCTCGTCGTCCGATGTTGAAGGTCCACGGTTGAGATCTGGGGAGGGCCCTCTAGTTGACTGACGCTCCCAAAGAATGATGGAGGCAGGATCAGGCCCTGGAACCCCCTTCTCTCGCTTGAGCACCGGGCGCCTGTACAGATCATGCGAGAGTAGCCTATGATGCTCCGAAACGTGCTTTCCTGACAGCCAGAAAGCGAGCTTGGGATCGAAGTTTTGGTTTGGCACCCGGACAGTAGCAGTTACGAAGGAGTACTGGTAGCAGTCAGGGAACAGGAACGGCGGCTTTGCGCGAAGGGGCTCGCGAGCTAACGGGTGCAAGGTGTTCGGGTAGATAGGAACACACATGTCACGTTCCACAAATTCATCCTTGAGGCGTGTCGGTAGTCCCTGCCCGACAAACTGAATACTGCACTTGTGATAGGGTTTAACAGGCAATGGGAAGTCTCGGAGCTGTTAAATGGATACGATCAGTCTGTCATGCGAGGTTACACGAGTGAGTTGGGAACATACACAATCAACATATCCAATGTATGTCCTTGACGACATTCGTCGTGCGGCTTGCAGTGCTACGGCATCATCGAGGTGTTCCACCATGGCAACGGGATTGAGGCGAATGGTGAGGTGCATCCCTGGAAGAGGGGTGAAGGTGGACATAACTCGAGAGGTGTGGAAGAGTTGCAGGGGACAACGCTCAGGATAGAAAAAGGCGGATCTAAATCTCACCGATGTACAAAGACTTTCACGAGCGCAAACGAGAACAATAAACCAGTACAAAAGCTGCCATAAGTGGTTTCCTGCTGGCGAATGTCTTCTATGCGTCTACTAACTCGAACGCCACGTCTTGAGGGATGTTACTGCGTTCTACGCTGGAACATGCTTCCCGGATGACTTCGCTGAGTGCAGCATCCAGTCACATGCATGACTAAATAACACCTCAACCGGAACAGTGACGAGACACATTAACAAAACCAGAGCAGCGCCCCAGGGCCCAGAGAGTAGCGACAACAGCCGGAGGGGCCGGCCCGGCGGCATTTATAGCGGATCTCGATCGAGCTGAAGAAACAGGCGCCCATTCGAGCCATTGCCCTCGCGGTCACCTTGAAGAGAGCTCGCCCGCCACGGTCTGATAGTATACGAGATTATGTACATCAAAGCACTTTGGCCCTGAGCCGTCGTAAATGGTTAGATAAGTAGCTTGTCACAATTGATGTTGTCAGAATACAGTCCGAGTTGACAGCACTAATGTGCTCCGCACACATATCAATCGTCGCTACAATATAAGCATAGTAATAGACAACGAGCCTTGTGCATATATGATCGTTCATGGTGATTATAAAAATCCCGTAAGAGAAACATTACACTTGCATTACACGCGGCAATCTAGTCCCTACGCGAACCAATCCTCATCAGGTGCGACCGCTGAGACGGTGTCTTCACACTTATATTGCTCTGAACGTGAACATATCAGGCGAGATTACAAGAACTTTCCGAATTCCAATGACATACCAACATCCTCCTCACCGCACCAGAGCCGCTGCCTGATGGTGCATTCTGCATGACGTGATTGGGTACAGCTTGAGCGTGCACTACTTGATAATTGGCATGCGACATTCCGGAGACGCCCTGTAAGTGAACGTCAGACACAATCGTAATGGCATCCCGGGTTATGGAAGGATCTCACTTGAGGACCGTTTGCGGTTTCCGTATATGTTGGCATGATACCGTCCTGAAAAATCATCATGAGCGAAGCGGATAAGATCAATGAGGCTTGTTGCTACCATGGACTCGTCGTGGAACTCCTCCTGTATAGCGGATCCTGCTGGGTAGTTCGTATTGACTGAGTTCCGCTCTTCTTGGTCGTGGTCGATATCCATATATAGTGGGCCCCGTCGCTTAGTCCTCCTTCTGTGTTGCGAACGAGACTTGTTAGGGGACATTTTGCTGAAGGCGAGCGACTTGGCGAGTGTATTCCAAGTGCGCCGCGAGCGGTACTAAATATGTCGAGGATGAGAGAGAGCTGTCTCTTTGTAAAGACTGTGGCATACCTGGGGCTGATCAAGCATGTGTTGCTGGTGGCATGTTAGTGTCGATGGTCAACGTTCGACGATTTGACACAAGGTACTCACAGTGTATTCCCTCCGCACGTACTCCCGGAAGGGAGCGTCATTGTCGAACCGTCTCTGCCAATGTTCGTATTTGTTCACGCTCGTTTGTCGCAAGTTGTGGACAACGTGGAGGTCCGAACGGTGATGCGATCCAGAATGGTGCCCTTTCCAGCGCTCACCGACAGCTTGTGTTGAGACAAATTCATGCGCGACAATCCACGCTGGCCTTGGGCTTTCTCACTCAGGAAGAGTATGGAAGTGAATGTCCGAGCGAGGAAGACGGTGGTTTAGCGAGGCCATCGGGACGCAAAAATACCTGATGGCATATGGTAGAGTCTCGATCCTCTTGCCATTCATGGTACCCATGACGCAGAGTGTAATCTTCTGCTGAGGCCCAGAGGTGTCGACTTCAGTGATAACACATGGACGATCCTTGAAACCGGGCCATAGGCTATCCTGAGTCCTCGACGTGTCGATGGTGTGGTTGCCGAGCGTGACTATCGACATGAGCTTCTTCAGATTGACCTTGAGTGCGCTCTCGATGGGCCTCATGAGCGACTCTTGGATATGACATACGTCTCCGGCTTGCAATGGGACCGTACCGAAATCGATAGACGCAAGACGCGGGCGAGCCGAGCAGTTGTAGCAGGGAGACATGATGATTACTTGACGAAACGCTCTAGGATATTCACCATTATATAGTCATGGTCATCGGTAAAGGACAAAGACTCGACCTGCTTGATGCAGGTGCGTACCTACATGTCTTGTCCCATTGTCAAGAACAAACACCTTACAGAAGGCATCGCTTGTGAAGACACATTCAACTAGGACGGATACGTGGGTCCATCTTATCACGACCAAGTGACCAGCACCACGGTAGGACGTATGCAATTGTTGTAGTACACCATGCGCGTTGTGAAGAGAACTTCCGCGACGCAGGTCATATTGGATGTTGTCATTGTTAGTACAATATCTACCATCAGTGGAATCGCTTATTTCTTCCATTGAACTTACAAAATGTTACGCACAAGATATGGAACTTTATCGCAATGTTGCCAGTGGGGTCACGATTTGTACCAGAAGTATCACAGTCGGTGTTCTGATTTGAGACTTTGAGACTTCTCAGAGGATGGTGAATGGAGAGCATCTCTCAAGCGGAGAATTTCCAAGAAAGGGCGAGCATTTCTGTCCACCCCGATACGGAGGTAGCTGAAGAGTATGCCGCCGCGCAAGGGTGGGCACGCCAAGAGTCGGGTCTGATCCCATCAGATGATCTGAGATCATGCTGACAAGAACTCAGCATGCCGGACGACTGGCGCTTGACCTATTTGTCTTCTCTTGTTCTACACTTGATGCATCCGAGATGTACCTCATGGCGAGAAACAACGCATTTGCTGACTTAATTGAGACAATAGGCGAGCTGTTAGGCCATAGCCCCCCGCTCGCTCTGCATTCTGCCCTTCAAGTCCAGTCTCGATTGCCTCTCACAGACCCCAACGCAACATGACTTGGACACCGCTTCCTGGAATGTATCTCGCTCTCCGTCTCAACCCAGTGGCCATGGTGGAACACTTGGAAGATCCTATAGCACTAGATTCTGCGCGCCAAATGCAGCCGGGGACATATATCGCATACGTCGATCACGTAGGTTACCATTGGTTGTTGGCCAGTCCTCACAACTGAATTGCTTCGTATAACAAGCTTCTCGACTTCCCTTGGCGGGACAAGCCTGCCCATAGATGCAGTGTCAAGTTTGCTGGACGGGGTCTGCCAACACGTCTTAAGGACGAATTCATGGAAAGCACGATGTGTGTTCCCATTTTCCCCAATACATCGCACCCGCTGTCTCGTGAACCACTTCGGCCAAAGACACCATTTCCATTCTCAGACTGCTACCAGTATTCCCTCGTCGACACCACAGTGCGCGTGCCGACGCAGGATTTCGAGCCGCGAACTGCAATCTGGATGTCGCCGCGTCAGACCCATGAGCATAATAGATTCCTTGCCGACGACTTCCTCAGGCGTGCGATACTCATGCGCGAGAAAGGTGTCCCTGGTCCAGATCCAGATACCGTCATTACTTGGGAACGTCACGATTACGGAGGGCTGCCCTCACCTGATTTGCGCCGGAGTGACGCCGAAAGAGACTCCCTCGACGACTTCGTGGTACCCGAGTCGGACCACGATGGCGATGCATCGTTGGACCAGGAGGCCAACCAAGAAGACGGGCCTGACGGTGACTCCGCATCATCTATGATTGTATCAGATTCGGATGGCGACGCTGAGAGCGTCGACTCGTCCGAACGTGACTTCACACAGCTCGCATTCGCGGAGAGAGCTGTGGACGATCTGGACATCATTCCGCTGGTCGAGGCATCGCAGGAGCTGACGTCGATTGAGCGTATTATGGATCCTCTCGGCTTCCTCGACGAGCAGGAAGCAATCATTGCGTGAGTCGCAGCAATTTGTCGTAGTCGATACGACTGAAGCCAACTTCTGCTTAGGATCATCAAGGAGTCCCGCGCACGCAATGCCACTGCATTTGCAGAGACAAATGCTACTGCGACGAAAAGCGAGAGCTCTCGGGTCGATCTGGATCTGAACGCTGAGAAGAGTGGAAAGCATGGCATGGAACCATTACGTTGGCACAAACGTGCGTTTGCGTCTGCACGGGGATGCATAGGACTGACAACTTACTTTCAGGGCTACGCCGTCGGACTATTCAAGTCATCAAGACCGAACATGGCCGCGTTAAGGGCGCTGTCATCCGCGTCGTCGGTCTGATCCGCACTCATTTATGTCTGCGGACCGTATCTTCGTCTTCGTAAATGTTGGCTAGCATATTCAACCTCCACTGCTTCGCCGCGCGCCAGACATATTGTGTATATTTTCTTGTCCTCGCATACCGGTTCGAATACATTTTCATCAGCAGGCGTTATATGACCGTGAGGAGATTGCGTCGGCCCTAAAGCAAAACTACTGTTCGCTCATCATTCGTACTACAGGATATCAACATTCACACAGCGAGGCGAAAGCAAATATAATATAGCTGATCAATAGTAATCTCAAACCAGAATAGGACTGCTCTCTTTTGTGAACGAATACGTCGTTGTGCCATGTGGGCTCAGGCTGTACTCCGGTCGGTATATATTCTGAGTAGGCATCCATGGCGCCATACCCAGTACGAGAATAACATCAATGCTCGTCATCACGCACTTTGCGGAGACGAACCGCTCGGAGAATGCTTGTTGAGACCGCTGTAATCATGACGCTGACACCGCGTACAAGCCCGGCGAGCTTCACAGGAACTCAGGCTTGAGGGGGACACATCAGCATTGTGTCCAAGATCGTGCGTGACTACGAACCTTTCAGCGAGCGAGATGAAGTGTTGACAACGTCCTTCTCTGCAGTGTGTGGCGATGGATCAGCCTCAGGAAAGAGCGGTCTGTCCTCTGTCTCGGGTTGCGCTTCGGGCGGCGTATCGGCAAGATGTTCGGTTACTGTGGTGGCCGGCCCCGCACACTCAGGAATGTCTTCAACGATACTAGTACCAGTGTTAGAGTCGCTCGCGGGCGAGTCCTGGGCAGAAGCGTTCTCCGCCGCAGGCACCAGGGCAAGACACTCTTCCTTCTGGACATCATCGAAGGATATGACGGAGACAACCGCGCCCGAATCGCTCACGTCTTCCAGTGTACCATCACGCGCCTTTCGAATGAGCCTGACGTACACTCCAATTAGCAAATCGGAATTCAAGAAATTTGAAGTGAAATGCACTCGGCCATGGATTTGGCTTCTTCCAGGAATCCACGGGGATCCGCAGGTTCTCCTCTTGCTGTCAAATCATACGAAACTTTGACCAGGGGAATTAGATCAAAGGCGGGATCCGAGAGCTTTGAGAAGAGGAAAGCGTCGAACATTACATAAAGGTCTTCCATGTCGTCGGCGACGGTACAGGATTCGGACTCATCGCCATCATTGGCAGCAGGTGTAGAATCGACGTTGTTACCGGACGCAGCCATATCCATGTCAGCACTGGCCACATCGGGGTCAGCATCATCAGGATCGAGCGGCTTCTCGCTACCGTCCGCTGTCTTGGACCACCCCACCACGCGATCCGCATTCTTCAGGTCGACAGCTAGTACATCTTCAGCGACAGCTTCGGATCCATCCAGCTGTGTATCCGGCTGCATTGGTAGCGGTCGTATCGGTGAAACACCTGAATATAAAGCGTCAGCTTGAAGGCAGCAGCGCCATACCTAGAATACCCGTGACTAGAGAGCAGCGTACCTTTCCTGCATTTATCTTCGTCCAAATAGCGATAATATTTGAAGATCTCTAGTACAGGTAGCGATACGGTGTCCCTGTAGTCTCTCAGCTGAGTAGGGACGCGTACAGTAGTGTGGACATGGCAATGCTGATAGCAGTTCGGGAACGGGAACGGTCTCGAAGGATGGAGCGGTTCACGTCCTGCGGGATGTTCACTTGCAGTATAAACAGGAACACACATGTTGGAGGTTATGTGTTGGTCTGGTTGGTCTTCCGGCATACCGATCCCGACAAATCGTATGAGGCTACGATGCCATGGACGATCAGGCATCGGGAAATCTAGATTCTGTCGAAAGCGGTCAAATAGAGTTTAGAAGTCGCATACGAGGTTGCGCACCCTATCTACATATCCAATGTACTTGCGAGGAGATAGTTTGCGTGCTGCCGCTCGCACGCGAGGGTCGTCAACGCACTCCGCCATCTTGACTGGATCCAGCCAAAGAGCAAGATATGTACCGTACGCCGGTACAAATTCTTTTGTCGACAAGTCCAGCGACATGGAAAACGGGCATAGAAATGCACGATGCGATGCACGAGCAGACGAGGATGGTGCGCCCTACGGCAAATACCGGTCCCACATAGTCCACACGGATAGATACACATAAAATAATGGGATTGTACACTATCACCTCAACTGGTCGTCATGTGGAAGGATACAATAGTCATCACAGCGGATAGCACCGAGCAGACCGATACACGACTTCAATCTCACAAGCATCACAAAGCTCCTCAGTACAATTTTTTTACGGTGGGAAATGAATGAATGTCCTGAATCCATTCTTATCCTATCAATAAAGACACAAGAGCATAGTTCTCACATTATCTCGCGTTGAGGCTTGCTATTCATGATCAACGTCATACCCCGTTTATGCCTCAACGCACAGGCTTGATACAGAGTGCCCGAGAATGAGATGGGCCGTCCTACCATGTAGGATAATATCTTTCCTGAAGTCTGTAGTAATGGATGGCGGCTGGTCATGGGCGGATCGGCCTGCGGTTACACTAGTGTCGTCGGGGTGTAGTCCTAGTCGTCATGACTACTTCGAGGACGAAGGAGTCTCCTGACGTTGACCGCCAGCGCGGAGACCTGACGCTGACCTCGCTTCACAAAGCCTGTTGGGTGCCGGTCTTGAGCACACACCGGTAAGGTACACGGGGACATATGCGACAGCGCATTTTTCGATGAGGAAAACGAAGGTCTCTTGTCGCCCTTTTTCATTCGTGCCAATCGCCAGAATGACCGAGCCTCTGGCAAGGCGGTCTCGTCCTTGACCTCTGATGAGGGCTTGAGCGGCGTATCAGCTGAGCGCTCCACCGCTGTCTCCTGAAAGTCCGAGGGATGGCTACTGGTAGCTTTGCCGCAGTTTGGATCAGTGGTAGCCTCGCTGTGTACCAGAGTAGGTTCCGTAGTGAGGCCCTCGACCAGATCCTCAACCAGTGGCATTACAGCGTTAGGTGTTTCTGAACGATGGTCGGCTAACGTGCCATCGCGTGCTTTCCGGATGAGGCTAGCCCGAAGACGCGGTTAGCGGATGAGGAAGTGAACAGGTCTAAACAAAACGAACTCGGCCATTGCGTCTGCTTCCTCAATAAAGCCACGGGGATCAGCGCATTCTCCTCCTTCTGTTAGATCGAACGAGTATTTGACAAGAGGGATGATGTCAACATCGATACCATCAAGGTTAACGCAGAATGGAGCAAAAAATTCAAATGCGGCATTAACGAGGGCATCAGTGTCGGTGCTGTCGACACTGTCGGAGTACTCTGTGTCAGTGTCGCTATTGAGCGTAGGTGTACGATCGTCTTCTGTGGTGATGGCAACATCAAAGTGCTCAGAGACAGCATCTTCGTGCGTACATGGCGCACCATCTTGATCCTCGCTGCAGTCGACTGCCTGAAGCCAGCCTTGCACGTTCACGGCGTCATTCGAAAGGACAGCTGAGTCAAAGTTCGCTACGATTTCAGAGAATGTTGTGGTCTTCTCCATTTCCACAGGCGGAGGGTCTAGAAATAGTGTAATGGTCAACTCCACATCACGCTTTGAAGTCAGAAATCGTATTCACTCTGTTGTGGGTGTAGTGCTTTGTGCTGGGCCCAATCCTCGCCAAGATATCGTTCATGTCTCATCCTTTCCTTTACAGACAGCATTGCAGCATCGCAAAAATCTATGTGACGAGTAGGTATGCGGACGGTCGCCCAACCGAAAGAATGCTGATAGCAATTTGGGAATGGGAATGGCTTCGACGGATGAAGGGGTTCACGACCCGCTGGATGTTCGCTACAGGGGTCGATGGGCGTGCACATACTTGATGTCTTGAATTCTTCCGGCTGGTCTCTGGGCATGCCAGCCCCCGCGAACCGTATGAAACAACGGTGCCACGGACGATGAGGAAGAGGAAAGTCAATGGTCTATCGTCCTGCATTAGCGAGCGTTTGGCCAAGGACGCGGAACACACACTGAATTTATATATGCTATATACTTGTGGGGTGTCAATTCGCTCGCGAGAGCCGTAAGACGCGGATCGTCGAGGCATTCGGCCATGCGTACGGGATCCAGCCATAGTGCGATATATGAGCCGTGAGGTGGAATATAGCCGGTTGTGAGCAACTCTGACTGCATCTTAACTTATCCTGAGTACTACACAGGGTGAGGGTAAGGAAAGGAAGGCAATGGCAACTTTGGATCGACCTATTTATGTGACGAGCTAGGACGTTCAAATGTTCATGACTTACCCCTGTGCTTCGCACTGCATGCGGTATTCGATTTTCTGGTGTAAAAAATCAAATACAAATAAAATCAGAAGTGTATTCGCCTAATCAGTATTATGGCGCCTAATATGGAAGTGAAATTGAAGAAAAAGTGATTATGTAATCCGTTTACTATGCTTTCTTCCAATTATTCTTCAATTTATATTCGAGTTCCATTCAGTTTCTGCATCAATTGAATCAAATGGGTGCTATTCGCTTTTGATTTTGATTCAAAGAAAATTGATTCCTGCATGCAGTGTCGGGCTGGGATAGCGTGGGAAGTCCAAGCGTGGGAACTTCAGGAACACTGCACATTTCGACGTATCTTGGGGAGAACTGTCCACTCATCAAGTTTGGGGGGGAAGGGACAGAATGGCCCCATAAAACGCAAAATACTGCTAAAAGTGGGTCGTGTTTATGGTCATTTTCGGGGGTTTTCGGAATCGGACATTATGGGGAATTTGCCGGGGTACTGCCCACTCCTGCTTGCCCTTCACTGGGAGACCACAGACTGCTCTGGTGTTTGGCCTTCAGCAGGATTTCCCCGCTATACCCAAAATAATGCTTTCAACATCATTCTTGGCACCATCGTTTATTTCAGCCTGTTAGTGTTATATATTGAAGCAAGTTCTCACAGACGGCCAAGTTCTGTCTGCGCTGAGTTTTGTATACACCGTTGCGAGTTTTGCTGACAGTGGCCTGACCATCTTTCGGTGATCTCTATGCTTCAGTCTTCGTCCCAATGATGGATTATGAAGTACCATATTACCGCGAGTGAATTTGTCCCAGCTTGGAACACGTCTCGAAGTGGGTGGTACTTACTCCCGAATCGGGTTATAACTGTGACCGTCTTAAAGCTTGAGAAGGAAATCCCGCCACCTGTCGGGAATGTCCGGATTGTTCTGACGTTGTGTGTGACGGCGAGCTCGGTGCATCTGTCACGTAACCATGGCCCCCAACGCCGCCCCTCTACTCCTCAAACGAACCCATTATCGTTAAGTAGCTGGTCTACTTCATTCATCACCGCCTCTTCAGCGTTTCGATATTTTATCTCCATATTTCTTAAGACGACACATCTGTGTTCATTTTCACATCTTCAACGACTGGCAGAACTCCTGCGCTATGCCTCGTCTTCGCGTACTCGCCGGGCCCTCTCTCGATGACCTGACTCCGATTGCAACCAACTCCGGCAAGCCTCTCGACATCAAAAGCGACGCGTTTGAGGGCAACCTCGCGGTATATATCAAAGGCTTTGCGGATGCGAGTGGACGCGTGGGGGACAGCCCGTATTTTGAGAAGCGCAAGGGTGTTACGTGGAGTATCCAAATGCAAGGTGTGTTTGTCATTATCGTCTCAGTCGGCGAATTGTCATATCTCCATCTTGATCAGGTCGCTTCCTGCACGAGTATTCTGCGGACGACATCCTCTTTGGCAATGTGTTTGAGCGACCGCTGAAACTCCCGTGGGGATTCAGCGCTGCCCTCAAATTCATGCAGTACGTCTGTTCGTTTGACCATCATTCGTGCATGTCTGACCGACCCTTGCAGCTACATGGACCCGACGCTCGAGCAGGACCTCGCGTCAAAGTCGAAGCCGTGGGCCCTCTCACCCCTTATCACAACAATGCCATATCTGGAGCACAAACAAGTGACGAGCGCAGAACAGGAGCCCGCGTTCCCGCCGGAGGGGCTCGTCGAGAACAACATCTCTCAGCTTACCGTGCCGACCGCGCACAAGGCATGCGACATCTCGCACAACCGTAGCTCGGTCTTTCGGGATTCTCAGTGTAGGAAGGACGTTGTATTCGGGCCGGAGGTATGTCTTACGCCCCTGGTCTTCATGCTGATGCCCATGTCCACCGCAGGACCTCTTCACGGCAGATTTCTGCTACGACTACCTGCATTTCAGCCCTGAGGGTATTGATTTGCGGCTGCCTGGCGGCATATCGATAGATATGATGCGATACTGGGACGGCCAGCCAGTGCGCTTTGTGTGCTGCGAGCGTACACGCACTGGCAAGGGCGGGCAGCCCTGGGGGCGAGTGTTGTGGTGCGTCATCATAGAGGCGGTGGACGAAGTGGGCGGCGAGAAGACAGAACAGGACATTGATTGAGATCTCGCTGGAATTATATCATAGATGGTTGTTTTCTTGTAGCATCGTCGGGAAATGGACCATGTGTATTAGATTGTATTTACGTATCATGTGTATTGCGGATTGAGTTGATGTCCTTCTTGCCTTATGGCGGCATCGGTATTTTGCAAGCTCGAACACTAACATAGGGAGGGTAGAGCCTTGACTGAAGAACCGCCTCGGGTCGTGGACGCACGAGGGGAAGGAACGACGTACAGGCACGGGTCCTGGGCCGAAGGCGGGTCAGCACTAGCCCTCACTAGCCGCGGCGCTCCCTGGTCAGCCCACCATGACCGGCGAACCTCTTGTGCACGCTTCGACTCTGAATCTCATTAGCAAATATGGCTGCTCGGGAGGCTATATGCGTAACCCACTTTCATGCCAAAGACTGTCTGACAGGCTTGACTATTGGCGGATGGCAAAGGATCTGTGGTCTTTCCGGCCTTGTGTCGTACCTTGCTTTTTGTCTCCTTTACTGTGGACTCCGGAAAGAACTCCATGGGCTTAGCATCTACTCTCGGGATTCGAATTGATTCGTTCAATGGCAGCAGTTAGTGAGGCCTTTTTCGAGCGTACGCCCAATGACTCGATGGGAGCAGCATCCGAGAGTCGTGGACGCCCGTCGCCGAAACAATAGGAGCATTGCGATTCCCCACCTCAAGATGAACACACAATGCTTCCAGGTACGTGACAGTCCTCATGATATATAGACGATCTCACCGAGAATGGTGTTACAATAACGTACATTCTTCTTCCTGTTTTCGCAGCGACAGTTTCGACGGTCCATTATGCACGACTCGCATAAAAGCGCGCTCCAGGTCCCAAGTCAAACCACACGCATCCTTCGTCCTAGCCTCTCTCCTTAAGCACTTCGGCGCACCGGTGAGTGGTGGTGCGTTGTGCGGCCCGAGGCTGAGGCATCAGCGGTGGGTCGTTTCTCGGAGCCCTGACAGTGTTCATGCGTTCCTCCGCCGATCCGAATGTCGACTGAGGCTTGTCTTTAGAAATGTTATAGTTCTTGCGAGATGGGACGGGGAAACCTGGCTCGTGCTTGTCTAAAAGGCCTGTAGGCCAATCCAAGGACGGTATGTGTTGCTCTCTACAATGTGGACATCACCCATTAATTCTGTGTAATGTCTCTCAATAGGTACGCACTCTTTTCTCTGGTGATGCTCTGCTCTCGGCTGGTACTCAGTGGCTCGTGATCGTTGATATTGCGAACCAGGGCACCCGCACACCGTGATCCCGGTCCCTCGGTCCCCAATACTGCCCTCCTCCGGGAAGCGGGTGCCACCCAAAGTCCCACGAAGCGGTACATCGCGGTGTCGCTGAATGTCGCCTATGCGCAGAATGGATGTATGTATGGTCAGATTTAGCGCTCTACTAGCCACCAGTACGTACCCTGCCTGGCATTCCGGCTGCTCGGGGCATCGCTCAGTCTGCTCTGGCACCTTTCTTATACTCGCTGGCCACCTCTGCTCGCAGGTGTGCTGACTTTGAACACACAAGTACCACCCCTCGCCTCGAGGAAGTGGGTGCCATCCTACCAATGGTACTGGGGCCTGTTGGTCCCACACCGTAACCTCACCTAAGTCGGGCTGGACAATTTGCATATAGCCATCATTTTGGTGATAGCTTTGATTAGGGTTCTCCCAGTTGTCTGAGTGTACGTTAGCCCTCTGACAACCTCGGTGACCCTGGTCAAAGTGCCCACCTCGATCATAGCTGTACGGCTTGAGATTATGGAGTTGCGCTGTCAAGCGCCATATCTCTCCTGACAACTGCAACGACACCACATGATTCCAGTCATCAAGTTCTGCAGACTTGTATGGCGGCAGGGCTTCGAGGCGTGGATAGTCGGTCTGTCGCCACACAATCAGTCACCGTCACAGCGCGCAGCCTAGCTGCACTGACCATCTGCCTCGTGTGCGTAGCGCCACTGCATTGTTCCAACTCCCAAACTCCTTCGATGATTGTTCTGAAGTTTCCTGGAGGCAGTGCCGGCTGCGGTGCCTTTATGGGCAGCCGCTGGGCCCTTGATGTCCACTTGTATTCGTCGTAGTCGATGCTCACAATAGTTCGGGTAAGCGATCCGTCCATATCAAGAGACACAAAGACGGAGGATTGTTTATGATGAGGTGCGTAAAGGGGGTTATTTGCGATCAAAGCACAAGGCGAATAGAGGAGTGCTAGGGCCGTCGCGGTTGAAGTGGTTGTGGCGATTATGAGGTCAGCTGACCGGGTTTGAGCTCAGTTGTATTTCTCACCCATTTTGGCGATAATGGCGGCCCTTATATCTAACGGTGATGCTTTCTGTGTGCAAAATCCAAATTTCATTGTTATATGCTGACACCCCCCATTATCTGGGACTTGTATTTTGTCCAGCTTCTATTCGTGGGTGGCCTCCAATCATCAAGCACTGCTAAAGATCACTAAATCCGCCTTCTATGTGCAAGAGTCATTGGTCTCAGAGAATATACTGAGAGGCATGTGGTGCTGCCTGCGCCACCACCAGACACGAAGTGGGAAATAGCCGCAACTCGTGAGTTCATCGTGCCATTACGGATATACATGGACTCTTCTGAGACATAATGGCGTGAATCTTAACAGGTCGCCGCGTCACGCAAGTTGATCCCGATGGCTTGCTACTGAAACGTACCAGATCCAACGTCACAAGCGTGTATAATACTCATCTCAAGGAGCCTTTTTTGTAATGGTCATCACCCACTCGCGTCTCGACTATGCAGGTCGCCGTCGGCAGCCTAGCGGCACTTCGGATGAATACAAAGGTTTGTTGTGATGACGCGGAAACAGGCCGCAGCCTTGATCATACTACAAGATACTGGCGCTTATATATCGACCTATTTGTCTTCTCTTGTTCTACCCATGATGCAGCGTAGATACATCTCATGGTCGAGAGCAAGAGAGCTTCCGAAGTGATGCAACAATAAGAATGCTCGTTCTCGCATCAGCCTGTCTCTGTCTCTGCGTTCCCAATCCCGTACAGCTCACATCCGTTCGCGCCATGACCACGTTCGCTCCCCTCCCTGGAACATACTTGACAATCCGCCTCAATCCAGTGACCATGGTGGAGCACTTGGAGGATTCTGTGGCCCTAGATGCTGCACGTCAGATGTCAGTCGGGACGTACATTGCATACGTCGAACATGTGAGTCGCCTAGTAAGTATCTTTGAAATCGACATGGTGCTGAATGCCTGGCTTCGGCTGAAAGGTATACGATTTTCCTTGGCCCGATAGGCCGACGCACAAATGCCGCATAAACTTCGTTGGGCAAGGGCTACCGAAGCGTTTGAAAGATGAATTCATGGAACCTTCAATGTGTGTTCCTATCTTCCCGAACACGTCGCACCCGCTCTCTCGAGCGCCCCTTCGACCGAAGTCTCCTTTCCCTTTCCCTGGTTGCTATCAGTATTCTTTCATCGATGCTCGCGTCCGGGTCCCTACTCAGTCCTTCGATCCCAAGCTCGCAATCTGGCTATCGCCACGTCAATCTGACGAGCACAGCAGATTGGTCTACCAAGATTTCCACAGGCGTGCGACGCTTAAACGCGATGCTGGGGTATCTGGCGTTGATCCAGACACTATCAGACTATGGGATCGTGCGTCAGTGGGCAGCACTCTTAGCATGGATATATACCGTAGCGATGAGGAAGCCTTGGGAGGTGGCGTAGGCCCTGACGGTCAACCTAGGCGCAAGAACTCCCTCGACGAAATTATAGAACAGATGCCGGATTCAGACAATGATGGAACGTCTGATGGAGGCTCAGAAGGCAGGAACTTAGATACCCACTCAGAGCCGTCGATGATAGGATCGGATGACGAGTCCGGAAGCCAGGAATCCGCCGTAGACATTACAGGAATCGTATTGGGTGACAAATGCGATGAGGATCCCGACCTTGTCCCTCTTGTGGAGGTGTCGCTGGAGATCTCGAAGGTAGAGCGCGTCCTCGACCCCATTGGCTTTCTCGAAGAACAGGAGGCAATCATCGTGTGAGTCCCTGTGGCGATTGGCCACTACTAGTACTGAGGATGGTCTTGATAGGATCATCAAGGAATCTCGTGCAAGGAATCCTGCGCTCTTTGCTCAGTCTCTCGCCAATAGTGAGCAGCAATTTGGCGGTGGTGCTTGGACGAGCGAAGCTGGCGCTGGGCATAGTAAAGAGTTTTCCGCATCTACTGGTGTTCTTGCGTTGAGGAGTGAGGAATCGCGAGTCATCAGCCCCGGCATCAAGTCAACAAACCAGGACTCCAGTCCAAGATCTTTCGAATTGCCACCCAAATGGCACACTTGTACGTATGTTGTATCCTTCACGAGATCGTGGGCCAATATTCAAAGTCATAGCTGTGCGTTTTCGGACTTCTCTGGTCCTAAGGTCAAGCTGCGATAAGTGCCGGAATGCACTGGCTTCTGTCGCCCATATTGTTAGGACTCATCTGTGCTTCCGATGATCATAATCTGTAGTTTTGAGTTATGCATGACCATTCTCGACTATCTTACTACTCATACCCTAACGCGGCGTGACAAATGAACTATATGTATTTCAAATGATGAAACGTCGCACAGGAGAAACCCAATTTTCTAAAAAGTGCCTGTGATCTATTTGTCCTGGCACTAATGAAATCACCAATTATTTTCTAGGTGCAACTGGGGTTCCAAGACCATGGTGGCTCTGCATGCATCTGCCTACCGAGGGTTCAGCCGGAAATCCTACGCTTCCGAGTCTTGCGAGCGTTTGCACGAAGCGCGAGGGCTTCTATCTTGCTGGCTCGAGAGTAGTTGAGACACATCATGCGCCAACAGGAGGGGGATATACGGCAATGCACTACATTGCAATTAACACATAAAAGGAGGATAATATTTTAGCTGTGAACAAGGATCGGGTTATGAAAGTTCGCCGAGTTGCAAATGCCAAATCATCGTGATACTGCTGAGTCTGACGATTCTATTCGCAGGGTGTACGTGAGCACACATTCTGGTTGCCTGAACGGCCCTGTCCAGGCTGAGGCGCTTACTCAGACCCCGCTTCTGAGCGTGCGTGAACACTCAGGAGTGCGAATCAAATCCCTTTCTTCCAAGAGCTTTTGAAGGAGATCAATGTAGTCAACTTCGACAGCTCCTTAGCAACATGCAGCATCTCTCGCATATATGAGAAGTCCGTCTGGCGACAAATCCATGGTCAACGATGCAGCCCACTATGAACTCGCATCCTCGCTCTAGTTCACCCACCCCGGCGATCATTATTTTGCAGATGATCCTCATCGCCGCTCTCATTGCATTGCAGCCAAGATGGCCCTTCAAGCTCGCAGCGTCCGCGACATACGCGTACTCCATTGCGCTGTTGTCTGTTTGCACTGCTGGGATCATCTCCATCGACTACTGTCTCGGTTGCCTCTTTGTGGGGCAATTCCTGATCGCGTTCCAGCTGCTGTGGTTACACGATCCTTTGACAGAGTTCAAGCATGAAAGGGATACTGTCCCGCCGGCGGAGCTGCCATTCTGGCGCCGAACGTACTGGGTGCTATGCATCTTCATTGGTCCTCGTGGCATAGGATGGGCTCACCAGGCAAGTGTACACCGCTCTTCGCCCATGCTGAGATCCAGAATATCAATCAGTTGAGCTTACTATGCGCAGATCCCCTACGTCCCACCTCGTCCTTATGTGTCGCGCGATGTGTTCACGCGGCGGCAGCTGCTCAAAGCACTGAGGTGGTACCTGTTCATAGACATCGCGAGAGCATATCAACTCGCACATGAGCTCTTCACTCGCCCTGTCACGGACCTCTTTGACGTGGCGTCCCGCGGTTACCTGCAGCGATGTGCAAATGTCGCCGCGTTGCTGGGGCCATGGCTTGGCACTCTCGCCATGGATTACTATCTCTTCTCTGCGGCACACGTGAACTTAGGCTGGTCTGCTCCCGGAGACTGGCCAGACGTTTACGGGAACTGGGCTGATGCGTACACAGTGCGGCGATTCTGGGGGTCAGTGCTCAGCCTGCCCACCCCCACGATATTGAGAGCTGACCTCGTATCACAGACGCACCTACCATCAATACTTTCGCCGCGTACGCACGCCCTCTTCTTGTTGAATCTGGCTGACGGTTGTGTGCAACTCGCAGCACACCGCGTTTGTGGGGAAGGGATGTTGCCGCCTGCTGCGGCTGCAACCAGGTTCCTGGGCGTCTTCGTACACGCAGCTGTACGTCGGCTTCGCGACGTCCGGCTTTATGCACTGCGTGGGTGACTTCATAGTTGATCGAGCGCTGTTTGGGATGTCCTTCCCGTTCTTCCTCGCGCAAGCGGTTGCCATCTCGCTGGAGGATGCGGCCATCGGCGTGGCGCGGCGGACGGGCCTGCAGTCCTTGTTCCCAGCTTATCTATGGCGCATGCTGGGGTACGCATGGGTGGTCGTGTGGTTCAGTGTGTCGGCACCATGGTTCATCGTCACGTCGATTCGTGTAGGGGTGCTGTTTCCCGTGCGCTTTACACTAGCAGGAACATTCGTTACAATGTTTGCTTCCCTGCTGCCTAGCTAACAGAGGATGTGACCGTGCTTGCGAAATACCGATGTGTAACCTTATGAGGCTCGTATGGGCCGATGAGGGAGCGATATGTATGATCTGTAAGTCATATACGATACTATCCGACAGGCCAGGATGGAAGTCCGCTGATGCTGGTCAAGCTTCTGCTATGGTCAAATAATTGCTGACTCAGCCGAGCGCGCTCTGGCTGTTGCGTGTCCCTTAAATGGGCTTGCAGTCCAGTGCTCGTGGCAGGGTGGCCATTGAAGTATTTGGTAGAACGCGTGACACGATAAGGCGAAGGCGACACACCAAGGTAGGCAGAAACAACTGGAGGGCGAAGCTGCGAGTGACATCGTGTGACCAATGCGTCCTCAGCCGCTATGATCAGTGTTCTGGCTTGCTTCCCGCAGAGTTGATTTCCAACGCTGATCATGCGTCGAGGAGCGTCCCATCTTTGGCGGCCGATGCGATACATACGATGTACAGCGACGTGCTGTGTCCGGCTATTCGCAGACGTGAGTTGGTGGCACGCACCGTTGCGAGTCGGATAGATCAACAGGAAAGGGTGGTGAACTGTTACCTTTAAATCTATATCGCATCCATCTTGACGTTGCCCTACAAAGTCGTACTATATCGCATCGGCCAAGACGGCCACCGCGACAAGTGATATCAAACTTGTGTGGTAATACACGCCTTGTGTCAGGCACAAGTTTCGTCTTGCGAGGCGCGCGGGCACGGGATGAACACCGAGCGAAATTATGTACGTCGGCGCTGCTTGACGGCTTGCGCAGTAAGAGCATTGCTGCTGAAACATGATATATAACGTGTTTCTTGGAGATGATACAGTGGTTGCACGTAAGGCAAAGAGTTGCCTGTCAGTAGCTTAATGAGCAACAAATATGATCGCGATCATGTGGGAATAGTATGATCACTGACTTGCGACCTCTCGACACATGTCACCGTGCAAAAACAACAATTGTGGGCAATGTATCCACCAAGGCCGATAAGGTCAGTGCTTTCGAGGAGGCCCTGGGCCTCCCACGGGAGGAAGCTTTCCTTTGAAACCAATCAGAGATGATGTCGAGACTTGAACTAAAGTTGGATCGCGGCGTTAAAGTTGTGACGCCACGTGTCGCGACCCCGGTCTGTGCATTGGGCGTCTTTTCTGAGTTTTCGACGTTCAAGCACTCCACCCCTTCGTCGGGAAGCTCATCCTTGTGGCAAGCTTGTGACTGTTTAGGTCGATATCGACTGCTTACATGGGCCATGAAGTATTGGTATTGCATATCACCTATCGCTTAGCAAAACGAATGATCTCGACGTCAGCGCGCGCACGAGGCACGAATCCGCCGGATCAGAAACGCCCTCGGGCGATTGGCTGAGGAAGGCGAAGGCACAGCCGATCTACGAAGGGTCCAGGCCTGGCTGGGCGGTTGTGTAACTGCCAGGCGTTCCTGATTCATGAGAAATGGAACCGGGGAAACGAGGAAAGGGACTTGCTCTCGCCTCCTGGCAGGCACCCGGCGCTGTCGTCTCATGTCGCTTTTGTGTTGCTCTTAGCAGCGGATTCAGACACACAGCACTCTCTGCCAGTATCTACGTCCGTGAGTACCAATCCTTCTCGTAGAAAAAGCCTCGGCCCTCGGTTCGCGTGTCTGTCCATTTCGATACCCTGTTCGCCTGCCCAGCGCCCATAGTTTGCTCCCGCGACCGGTCGCTCGTCGTCCTCGATTTTGTCCTCCGTTTGCGTGCTCTAGCTATATTCTGATCCTTTGGCGACCAGGCATCTCGCAGAGGCATCTTGATATCAGCGGACCACGCCGTGCACTTCCATTCATTTCAGATCACACTCTTTTTAGTGTTGTCTCGCAGGCACGTCTGCCAAGCAGTCGCTCTTCAGCACCCCATGTTCACTCCTCCACCGTCGCCCGAACCCCCGCGATCATATCGCGCAACTAGCAGCAGCCAACCATCGCGCGGCCGCCAGTGGGATGCACATTTGGCGCCATCCCGCTCCCCCTCGTTATCCTCGTCATCGTCACGGTCGAGCAGCCCTACGCCGACACTCACAAGTGGATCAGCAACGCTGCCTTTAAGTTCAGCCTCCCCGTCACCACCATGCCGCCCATCTCTACAGGAACAGTACATGCTCAGTCTTACGAGGAAGCAGAAAACGGCGCGACGCACGCGATGGACTATTCTTCTAGTTCCTCTAGCGCTTGTCATCATAACGCTCTCCACACGATATCTCTCGCACCCTGCGTTACTCGACGTACTCTCGCCCGAGTACTCGTCAGGGATCTGGGATGAGCTCCTTGATTGGAGGCCACATGATGACATACACGCCCCGCATCTCAGACGCGCGCCAGAGCCAGTACCTCAAGGATTCAGCGTAGAGCCTACGTCGACCGTGATTTCCTTTCCTGGGCAGTCGACGCAGTCTGGCTCTTCTACTTTCGTTTCGTCCCCTGCTTCTGCGTCTGCTTCCGCATCGTCAACGCCCTCCACGATCTCTGCCAGCTCTACGATCCCTACGATACCCGCCACGCCACCAGTACTACCGACACCATTTCCTCAGCCGTTCTCAAGCTTGGGGTCGAGCAATTTTGCCACTGAAAGCTGTTATATATTCTTCCAGAACATGTCTGACACGGATCCATTCCGCACATGCCGGCCTTTCTCTTTATTGGTGCAAAGTTCCGCAGACTTCATTAATGTGAGTGTTCTCAATTGTCCTGTTACCTCGTGCAGGGTCAGTGACGGCCCGTTGAGGAGCACGATCTGGATACCCGAGGGATAATTGAGATCCTGCGGGGTTGATTAAGCATCAATGCTTTTCGCTACCGGTCATGATTTGCACTGAATGTCCTGCAGGGATGCTGTATTGTTCATCCTTCCGCATCCGCGATCTAGACCAATTACTAGTCTATGTCCGTCGCGTCGTGGTTCCTGTCTGCAGGGTCGACGACTGACCATCCCTTCTTTGCGCGTGCGGGGCTGACCCCCACTAAGCAGGCTCAGTCGAATATTACGCTCCTTAATACGCTCGTCTGGGGAACGTGCAACACCGACCCAAGCGTGGACCAGTGCGTCGCAAACATGGGCTGGTTCGCGCAGCAGCTTCAAAGCGCATGTACGACGGAGATAAGCCAGACCAACGAGCTCGTAACGAGCACACTCATAGGTGTGCACCTTCCACTCCCTCGCCTTACCATCTAGTTGTGACCGAAGCAATGTGCAGGCCTGGAGGCCTATAGCCTCATGCGCAGCGCAGGGTGCCTGCCAGACACCGCGACGAACGCATACTGCTACGTGGAGTCGGTCGAGAGCTCGCATCCCGACGACATGTTTTACTACCAGCTCCCGCTGGGGACCGCGCTGCCGAACAACACGCTGCCGAGCTGCTCGTCGTGCACGCAGAGCCTGATGGCACAGTACGTCGAGGAAGGGCTCAACACGACAGGGCTGCGCGAGACATACGCGGACGCGGCGCTCATCACGAACAAGGTGTGCGGGAACGGGTTTGTGTCGGAGACGGTCACAGAGAAAACCGGGGGCGCGTTGCGCGCGCGGACAGGCACCTGGGCGGCGGTAGCAGCTGTCGTGCTGGCTATTGCCCATGTCTCGTGTTGACACCGCGGCGATTCCGAGTTTTGCGACGACTGTCTATTAATTACTGGTTCAGAGGGCCAGTAGTGCGCGCAATAATGGACGCTATGTGCGCACGTGTGATAAAATGATGCTGCATTTTCTCGTCATTGGGCTTGTTGGTGGGTTTCGGTGCGCACTAGAACACTTGCCCATTTTGCTTCGGAGGGTTGCTGATACTCTTGACCTTCATGCCAGTATACCATACTCCCTTTCCTAGTGCGTGCTGTAGTTTACTATTATACTATTTTTGCCCGTTGTTCCTCTCCCGCTCTTTGCATTACGAGTAGCTACTCTATCGCATGCAGGCGAATAGCCTTTACACGATCGTATGCCATTGTGTCTCCGTTCTGATAACTTGACATCAAACCACCATCCACACAGCAGGCGGTTCTCGCAGCGCGTGACGGCGTCATGGACGGTCTCGGCTTTCTCGCAGACCTAAGGGTAATAAACATGATCCATGTCAAAGATGCACTGTGCGAGCTATCTCTTCATTGGGATGCCTAAAGGCCTTGTTACAGATTCATTGAGACGGGCCCAATGACGTTTCTGCCGCCAGAAACGCGTTTGGGGAATCGCTGAAACTTTTCTCGGCCTCGGCCACGCTGTGCATCAAGCTGGGGTATCATCGAGATGAGATGCATCATCTCGCATCTCGGGTATCATCATGCGGGGAATTTCAAAACCTCGGAAGATCCGAACCGAGACCGTTAGCTCCCCCTCTCAGGACACCCATGCCATGAATAGAGGAGGCCAAGAGGCTCCTGCGAAGTGTCTTCAGAAAATATTCGTCCAGGAAGACTGAAATGCTGAAATGCTGCACTTTGAGTGTGATAATCGTGACCGCTACCGCCGTGTGTTACGCAGGCTGTAGCCCCGCGAAGTATATACTCTGAAGCGATAGAGGCCCTTGGCTTGTTTCGTCCCATAGCATATATATTCCGTTTCTAACGGACTGAGCACGAAATTGTACAACCGACGTATCCTTGAGGGCGGTTTCAACTGAAATTGCACGATTGGTGAGATTTGTATCGAGATCGATCATTGTGGAGTCGCGTAGCTAGGTGTCTAGGTGTAGATCGATAATTCCTCTTAAGCCTTGTTGTTTACCGGTCGAAATAACGACCACAGAGGCCAGTGTAAGATTCACGCAGAGGAGCAAGAATTAATGCTGAAAGACGAAAACAGACAACTTGAAAATGTCCAAGACGGCCGAAATGAAAACACAAAAAGCAAGGTTCCCTATTCAAAAGAATGCGTGAAAGGGGAATCGAACCCCTGGCTGGTCGAGATAGCTGATTTGGCAACGACCAAGGTTACCACTACCCCATTCACGCGATATTAGCGCTCTTCTATGTATCCACATGTTCGCCATGAGCTCTTCCAACGCATGAAAGCTATATATTGCTTCCTATTGGACGACTGTCGTCTCATATGCCAGGCATATTGGCCCATGTCTGATGCCTGTTCACCAATTTGTTTACAATGTCCTCCTCGATCTCTTTCTCGGGCGTGAGCACTGGGTCCATCCTCAACCAAGACTCCGTGAACGTCTGCTTGTCACCAGCTGCAGGAGGAGCACTATGGGTCTGCACAGGTGACACGAAGACGACCTGGTGTTTGCGCGTGTGGAGGTCGTTGCCGATGACGGCCTGATGGCCGTAACGCGAGAGGGCGGCGCGTGCTTTGGGTATCAGCAGGGAGGTGTCGGTCTCGAGCTGTGAGACGAAGACATTCAGCTATGGACAACCACGGCGGAGCGTGTTCCGACTTGCCTTGAAAGATACTATGTAGCCTTCGCCACGGGTCCACTCGGAGACGAGAGGCTTGAGGATCTTGGGCACCTGGTCCATCTCAATGTGCAGGCTGCCTTTGCCTGATTGTATCTTGTGCTCGGACTGATAGACAGAGACATTATGTGCAACAGGTAAATCGGAGGGCTGCTTCAACTAACCAGTTTCTGCCGGGGCAAGAAGAAGTCGCTAACCGCAGCCGCGAGATAGTACAAAGCGTGCCTGCCGAGGACAGAAAGTTCCTGGCTGACTGCGCGCAAGAGCCATAGGTAGTCATTGACCGTGACAAATGTGAGCGTGTGCAGCGTTCCGGCCTTCTGTACCGCCTTGTATGCTGTGAGGACCTGTAATAGCTGCGTTCGCTCCGAGGCTTTTACGCTGATGTGCGTAGGCGACGCTGAACCCGTCTCCTCAGGGGCATCTGATTCGATCTCGAGGAAGTCGAGGAAGGGGTGGGTTGAGTGGGAGTAGTGACGGCTGAAAGGCTGCAGACTGAATTGGCGGTGCATGAAGATGACGGCGTAGCCTGCTTTCAGGAAGTACTCTGCAGATGTTGCACCACGAGTGCCTTCCCCAACCGCCTATTGAGACTCCTGCAAGCATATCGCTGGAGCGACGACGTACCAGCACTGAAGTTGTCGAGAAAGCGGACACTGCAAGTATCGCGGATGAGCCGGCGAGCACGGCATACGAGCGTTCAGGCTCACACGTTGAGCTCCAGAGGCACCGTCGTTCCCCCGCTCTGTGTGCACTGTCATTGTCGAGGCAGAACGCGGATAAGGCGACGTACGCACCGTCACGAGCACAACCTTCCGCCCTGCTTGTGCATGTCTCTGAATGAATGTGCGGACATTGAGAATGTCTTGTTCAAGGTTGGGGGGAGCCGACTGTGTCGCAAAGTACGACTCTGCGGAGAATGTTGATTCCGTTCGCGAGGAGGACATGTGGTTGGAGGAAAGTGCGGCGACAGCCACTACTGACTCTTGATCGACGCTTGCTCCCATCCAATCACGTATGGCAATATCACGACTCTGGTATTCTACTTAGAAACAGCAACAAGTGTAAGAACTTGCACAGATGCTGTCTGATATCTATAGTTGCAAGTTCTCAGACATTTGACAACGTCACAACGCTCCCCTAAACCCTACGTTGGCTCACAGACGACAATGGATTGTCGGATGAGAAGAGCAGCGATCACAGAACTTCATAGCAAGCTGCTTTTCACATAATTTTGGTAAGCAAGCATATTTCGATATTCACCCAGTAGCGTCCAGCGCGTGTTACTCCTCCTGACCAGACAATGCTTCTTAGACACGTGAAGATGCGTACTACTCTCTGTAATAGCCTTCATCATGTCCTATAATCCGTATACGAACGCGCCGCCTCTCAAAGATGGCAGCGTATCCAATAACCCGGCAGCACGAGAGCCTCTCTATGGCTTTCTTCCCAGAAATGTGACCGCGGCACAAGTGCAGAGGGCGCTGGTGCGCCATCTCGAGTTGATTGATCTGCCCCAAACACTGAGCTGCTTGTAGGATGGGGACGTAAACCCATTCACGAAGAAGCCACACACACCGCAGTACAAGAAGATCCTCGGAATGAGGAAGAAGCTACCCGTGTACGCGCAAATGGACGAGTTCTTGAAAATCGTGAGTTGCTTCTGTTGCTTTGCCCGTCTTGAGGGAAGGTCAAGATCTGCCTCGGGCATACCACCCCCTCGTTTACGGGAAACATGGCTAATGTCCGAGAAAGTTCAGCAAAAACCAGATCATTGTCATGGTCGGAGAGACCGGGTCGGGCAAGACTACTCAGTGAGGCCTTTCACGCACATACCTTCTCCCGTATCGGCTAATGTCACTCACTCCGGAATCAGGATCCCACAATTTGTGTGCTATTCGGACCTTCCGCATACCAAGGGCAAACTGGTAGCCTGCACGCAGCCGCGTCGAGTGGCGGCCATGTCAGTGGCGAAGCGTGTAGCGGATGAGATGGACGGTATGTACTGTAGTGTCACTGTGTTGGGGAAACTCCACCTCATCCCTCTGCGCAGTACAACTCGGAAAGCAAGTCGGATACTCTATCCGATTCGAGGACATGACGGAGCCGGGCGTCACTTTCTTGAAGTACATGACTGACGGTATGCTTCTCCGAGAGGCCATGAATGATCCCGACCTCTCGCGCTACTCCACGATCATCCTTGACGAAGCTCACGAACGTACTCTTGCCACGGATATCCTCATGGGCCTGGTGAAGGCACTCGCGAAGCGCCGAGAGGACCTCAAGATTATCGTTATGTCTGCTACCCTCGATGCGCTCAAGTTCCAGAAGTACTTCTCAATCAAGGAGGGTGCGCCTGCGCCGTTGTTGGAGATTTCTGGACGGATGCATCCAGTTGAAGTGTTCTACACCCAGTACCCGGAGCCAGACTATGTTGAGGCGGCAATCCGTACTGTACTGATGATCCATCGTGCGGAGGAGCCGGGCGATATCCTACTCTTCTTGACGGGTGAGGAGGAGATCGAGGATTCATGTAGGAAGATCAAATTGGAGGCGGACGATCTGCTGAACCAGGACCCGGATAGTGTTGGCCCACTGGTCTGTATACCACTGTACTCGTCGCTTCCCCCGCAGCAGCAGCAGCGCATATTCGACCCTGCACCATCCCCGCGTACCCCAGATGGTCCGCCAGGTCGGAAGGTTGTCGTGTCCACAAACATTGCCGAGACCTCGCTCACGATCGACGGTATTGTGTACGTCGTGGACCCGGGCTTCTCTAAACAGACTGTCTACAACCCGCGCATACGTGTCGAGTCGTTGCTTGTGAGCCCTATTTCGAAGGCCTCCGCAAAGCAGCGAGCAGGCCGAGCTGGGCGGACACGGCCCGGGAAGTGCTTCCGGCTATATACCGAGAAGGACTTCATGAAGGAGCTTGAGGAGCAGACGCATCCGGAAATCCTGAGGAGTAACCTGGCGAATACCGTGCTAGAGTTGGTGAAGCTGGGCGTCCATGTAAGCTATCGCGTGTACTCTATTTTAGCATTAGTGTCTCATTGACGTGCATAGGATCTTGTGAAGTTCGACTACGTAGATGCACCAGCACCGGAAACGCTTATGCGAGCGTTAGAGCTGCTCAACTACCTCGCTGCTCTGGAAGACGATGGTCATCTGACCCCTCTTGGGTCCATCATGGCCGATTTCCCACTTGATCCTCAGGTTCGCCCGTCCCGTTGTTTCTTAGATGCCCAACCCTGCTGAACTTACCATTCTATAGATGGCTAAAATGCTCATCGTTAGCCCAGAGTTTAACTGTAGTAATGAAATCCTCACTATCGTGGCGATGTTGTCAGGTGGGAGTCTGCGCGCTCATTGTCGTATTTTGATCGTATAGCTCTCTTGTTGCAGTGCCGAACGTATGGCTTCGGCCGGCAAACGCGCGCAAGGAAGCGGATCAGGCGAAAGCATTGTTGACAGTGCCTGATGGCGATCACTTGACGCTACTGAACGTCTACAACAACTATAAACAAAGTACGTGTAGTCTGTGGGCCAAATATGCGGCTGATTGACATTTATGCATCGTAGATCGGCATGACCGTAACTGGCCGTGGAACAACTTCCTGTCACAACGTGCGCTAGCGCAGGCAGACAATGTGCGGTCGCAACTGCAGCGGACAATGGAGCGGTTCGATATCGACCTTGTGTCGACACAAGACGAACGCAAGCTGTACCTGAACGTGCGGAGGGCGCTGGTCTGCGGGTACTTCATGCAGGTGGCGCACAAGGAAGGCGACAAGGGCGGATACTTGACGGTGAAGGACAATCAAGTTGTCTCGCTGCACCCGTCGTGCGGCCTGGACAACCAACCAGAGTGGGTCATTTTCAACGAATTTGTCCTGACCACAAAGCCGTACATCCGCACGGTAACAGATGTCCGCCCCGAGTGGTATGTGTTTCGTGTCCTGCGAGTGGTTCCAGATTGATCAATGCATGAAATGGAATAGGTTGCTAGAATTAGCACCACTCTACTTCAATCTGGGGACGTTCCCCGACACAGAGTACAAGCGTACACTGCTCCGGATTCAGAACAAACAGGCCAGGAAGCCACTCGGAGGCAGGGGTGCCCGCCCACGAAAGAACAAGAGATCATAGGTCGCGTGCTTTGTGCACCTGGCATGCGAAGTATCTCCTTCTGTGATTGCTGATGTTCGAGTCCACGCTGTTGATTTCGGTAGCATATGCTTTTTGGGTATGCATCGCAATATATCATTTGCACACTGCCGTGCGCTGTAAACATATATGCTGATCGCACTCACGGCCTAGTTCATTGATACTCGCGGTAGCGAAGGATCCAAGGCGCTCTCCCGTCATCGTACGGTCGAACACAATGTGTTGACTCATGTAAAGTTCATAGACTAGTACTCTTTGACAGAGGATATTGTAAGACGACATTGAGATCGAGAGGTCATCCCTCTGTGTTTTGAAATAAGAGTCACTCGTTTCTCGATCCTGCGCTCCTTCACCATCTGCCAGTGTGGCGATTGCCGGGTGGCAAACAGCGGCTGGCAGAAATCCAACCTTTCGCCTATAACATTGCCTTTGGCACATCGTCAGGTATGCAGGATCAACGCTTACGCAGCCTCCCCGACGATATTGCTACCAGGACGCTACCCGTTAACGATCTTAATATGCACATACACGAGGCTGGCGACCGTTCAAATCCACTCATTCTCTTCTTGCATGGTTTCCCAGAGCTAGCATACTCCTGGCGCAAAGTTATTCTGCCCGTAGCGCACATGGGGTATCATGTTGTTGCTCCAGACCAGAGAGGCTTCGGGCGGACCACCATGACTCAGTGCTCAGGAGACCAGATCCGATATGAAGACGACTGGCGCAGCTTTCATGTACAGTCCTTGGTCAGGGACATCTTGGCTTTGGCCTTCGCTTTGGGACATCGGACTGTTGCCGCAGTCGTTGGCCACGACCTAGGCTCCATCGTAGCCGCTCAGTGTGCTCTGATTCGCCCCGATGTCTTCCATTCCGTGGTGATGATGTCTGCGCCCTTCCCGGGACCACCTTCTCTACCATTCGACATCGATGCAACCAGCCCTCCTCCACCACCGATCACTATTTTCTCCCCGCTCATACAAAACCAGCTTGCTGGGCTGAACAAGCCACTGAAATATTACATGACCTATTTCGCCGGACCAGATGCCAACCACGACCTCCTCAACGCACCAGAGGGCCTTCATCAGTTCTTACGCGCTTACTTCCATACCAAGAGCGCTGACTGGTCGGGAAATAACCCACATCCCCTTCTATCAGTAGAGGTGTCAGAGATGGCAAAGTTGCCTTGCTACTACATGATGCCACTTCACAGTACTATGCCACAAGCCGTCGCGCCGTACACCCCGTCTTCGCAAGAAGTGGCATACAACCGATGGTTACCTGACAGCGAATTGGCCGTGTATACGGCAGAATATCAGCGCACTGGATTTCAGGGCGGATTGAACTGGTATCGTTCCTGGCATCCCGAAGTTCAGCGGGAGCTCGCCCTATTCGCCGAGAGGAGAATTGACGTACCAGCGATGTTTTTGTCGGGTGAGAAGGACTGGGGGGTGTTCCAACACCCTGGTGCCATGGAGAAAATGAAGCAGCGCGCATGCAGCAGGATGGATGACGAAGACGTTGTCGTGATCGAAGGTGCTGGGCATTGGGTGCAGCAGGAACAGCCTGAGATGGTTGTGCACCACATCCGACGATTCTTACACAAAGTGCGCGTAATTTCATCTTTTTACCGAGTCACCGACAGACCTGACTCGGGAATCAGTACACGTCTGCATCGAATTAGAGAGCGCCTGAGTGTATTGACCAGGGCTAATCTCACGGTATTTAATGCCTTCCTTTCCTGACACGCTCAGGTCTTCGGCAGTACTCGCTTGTCCCCAACGTGGTGTGTAGGAAACGATGAATCTTCTCACGCATCTACAATGGTGAGCGCGTAGTACTCGTTTTTTAATGTTCATGCCATCACCTACAAGGATCTACGCCGCCGCTTTTGTGTAAGTATGTACCCCTGTGGTACTCGATCGTTTGCTCTATGCCGATCTGATCCACGAGACGATCGTTCAGTTTATGCATTGTGTTAGCCGACATCTTCTGCCTGTGGTTGGCCGATCGACGGGCTAGTGCTCGATGTGAGATTGATAGCTTGAGCGAAGCGATATATGCATGATCGTTCGCCTAGCATAAATGGGGTATGAAGTTACTACGAACAATACCATTACGTACAAGCCATACTAATTGCTGATAGGCAAGCGCACACTTGCGGTCGACCATGTTCATCGTATTGATGATGAGTTTGACAATTTGCACAAGTACCCACCTTTATCATGTACGGGACGATAAACCACGTTGTGCTGTCCATGCATGCGCTCAAGTCACGACTACAATCGCTGACTAGGCCCAAAGTCAAGCTTACTGGTCAAGCTAAGCCCTTCGGAACTTACCCGAGCGTCGTGGGCCTGTTTTGTAGACATCAAGGAAATGAGAAGCTTGAGTTGACAGTTGCAGTTGAAGATGCGCGGTAACGTCGCGCGGCCGCCGCAACGTTGCAGGCGCCGCGTGCTGATTAAACGAGTAGCGCCCTCCAGGACCTCAGCTGACCGTAGGCCGCCGTCTTTTTTTTGAAATGCTGACGTTGAGACGGCATTCTAACGACCGGAACAGCGAGTCTAGGGGTGCGGGCAGAGCTAGACACGCGCGTATAGAAAATGGATCGTGTATGCCCGAACGCCTCATAAGGTTGTGCTATTCTTCATGCTTTGCAAGCTGCGCCAATTCGGACGAATGAATGACCTTCCTTTTGTCAGTGCCTGGCTGAGCCTCGCTGGTGAATGCTTTGCAGCGTTCGGATGGCTGCTTTTAGATATCGGCAATGGGGGTATACCAAATAACCGCGCATATAGCGCGCCACTGCCGACCAGGTCTCGGCATCGTGCAACGGAATTAAAGGCGATTGATTCAGGCGGTCATTCAGTCGATGATAGTAAAGGTGAAGCCAGAGTGTAAGGACAAGGACCCGAGCATATGTGAGTTCATGATGTCCTATGATGTCACGTTGAGCGTCCAAAGGAAGTATCACCAGGAGCCGTGCAAGAGTGGTAATCAAGCCGTCAGCGCTTCAGGACAATATGATCAAGCTTGTCACTGCAAACGTCGGGAAGGTCGCCAGGTGATTCTGTCGGCCTGACCTGGAAGACCTGGTGATGTCTGCGATTTGCCTCATATGGTGGAGCACTTCGCAGCTCTCCAACCCGAGACCACCGCTACTTAAAGACTGCCGTGAGGAGACTGCCCCACACAACCGCCCCCATCGAACACTGCGACAGCGAGCAGCAACCACGAGACCGACCACCAGAGCGCTTCCGAATTTGACACCTGCCATCATGACTGAATCTGCACCGGTACCCAACGAGAAAGCGGTACCCAACGGAAACCCGCCACCGCCTTTCTATTTGCCTGTATGATGCCGTTACGATTTGGCGACGTAGTATCTCACATACGAAACAGTTTCCTGACAGACCAGAACTCATAACGGAGAACTTATTGAAATTGGTTGAGTTAACCCCTGACCCGTAAGTGGCACTCTCGGCCATGGAGTGAGCGTATCAGCCTTAGCGCGAATGTATGACAGGAGACACAAGTTTCTCGCTCGGACACTCATAACTCACTTGCATCAATTCGTGAACGAGACCAGGTACGTTCATTTAGACTGTCACTGAGATAGATTAACAGATGCCGGACAGTCTCACGACCGAGGAATGGATGACTGCGATCCAATTCCTCACTCGCGTGGGTCAGACCTGTACTCCTCTACGCCAAGAGTTCGTACTCTTGTCAGACACGCTGGGAGTATCGGCACTCGTAGACGCAATCAACAACCCTCCCATAAGTGGTGGGACGGAAAGTAGCGTCCTCGGCCCCTTTTTCACAGAAGATGCGCCTGATGGCAAGTACAAAGTTTCTGAGGGTATATAAAGTGTCTGCTAATATCACCTTCGCAGTTGAAAATGGCGAGTCCATTGCATCAGAAGGCAAGGGAGAGTATATGTACGTGGAGGGGCGCGTCCTCAGCACAGATGGCACACCGGTCTCCGGAGCGACTGTCGAAACATGGGAAACTGATGCTCTCGGTGAGTGCGACTATCGACAGAAGGAAAATAGGAAAACGCCGCTGACGAGATATTAATGGGATAATCCGTAGGATATTATGACACTCAATATGAGCACCGAGACAAGCCTGACTGCCGCGGTCGTTTGCGCACCGACAAGGATGGCAAATATGGATATCGCGCAGTCGTTCCAGTAGCGTACCCGATTCCAGGAGATGTAAGTCATCGCCGACACGACACATCCAAACTGTCGCCCTGACGCATCTGCATAGGGACCCGTCGGAGCTATGGTCGTGAAGCTTGGAAGACATAATATGCGACCAAATCACTTACACATGATGATCGAGGCTCCAGGTTTCAATAAACTCACGACTGCGCTTTACCCCGAGGGCGACCAGTGGCTCAGCAGTGACGCCGTTTTCGGGGTTAAGAAGTCGCTCGTAGTGGTGAGTCTCAAACCAATGATCCATAAAGCTACACCTTCTAACTGCTTTTCAGTCGCTTCGAGACGTTTACGACGACGCCGAGTCGCGAAAGCGTGGGTTCCCGAAGGGCGGTTCCTTCAAACTTCTACAACACGATATCATCCTCGTCCCTGAGGCAGATTCAAAAGCTGCCAGAGCACAGTATGCGAGAGAGCGAGCGGAGAAGGCTGGATTGAAGCTACCAGAATAAAGCGTATAATATACACGTATACCACAGCAAGGACATTTCTTAGGGCGAGTTCAACCTCGTCATGATTGACTGCCCATTGTTTTCACGTTCGGTGCTGTATACATTATGTACCCGAGATGTTGCGAAAGTCGTCGTCAGAAAGTAGGTTTGCAGGCATCGAGACGCGAAGATGATATTGGCAAGAGACAAGTTTACGATTAGACGCGCGTGTTTTCGGGCACGATCACGTGCAGTGACACCGTAACGCGTCGGTCACTGACGTCGGACGCGCCCTTTGCTTTCAACAACCTGCTGGATACTCACCTGCTTCAGTCTCAAGCGGCGCGTATGATCTTCTACACATTTGGCTGCAAATTATGGGTATCTCTGGCCTTTTGCCTCTGTTGAAGGATATTCAAGTCAACCGACCGCTGTCTGACTTCGCGGGCCAAACAATCGCCGTCGATGCTTATGTTTGGTTGCACAAGGGAACATACGGATGCGCACCCGACCTTGCCACAGGAAAGCAGACGACCAGGTGAGTGGCCAGTCTGACTTAATTGAAGGATCAAGGTATCCAGGGGGAAAGCACTCCGGTGAGCTGCCGCCACAACGGGTGACGACCTAGGCTTGACTGTGCCCGCATGGGTTGGTGGAGAATATATCACAGCGTGGCAAACGTCTGTGAAATATGCGGGTGCCAGTTGTGTCCTGGAGTGAGCTGTAGGCGATGGAATGCCGTAGGTCTGTCAATGGCTGCACGCGTCGCCCCTTGTACAGGCTGTCTCGAGACACCGCGGCTGATACGCCACTTGTTAATGTGCAGATGCGCTCTGTATTACCGGCCTCACTGAAACAGTCAACATAGGAGTGTTATTCTGGGGTGGAGACAGGAGCATCATCGGACATGTGAAGTGTTGCTGCGCTCTGCCTCCGCATTGCACTTCCTACACCACTTCTGTTGACACACGACGGATTCAATACATACTGGCCGCTCCACGCATGATATTGTCAGAGTCCACCCAACCCCTAATATGCTACGGGCGCATAATCCTTCTTCGCTATCGTGCCACTAAGGCTTAGGCCAGGTGCTCATCAGCCCAACGCAATCCCGCATGCTCATAATGAGGGTCAATTGTGTGGTATTTGTCAGAGTGCTTGTACTACGCTCTTAGAGCGTCAGTCACGAGTCATTCATTGTTCATTCGTCATACTGTGATGATCACACTACATTGAATGCTAATGATTACGCACTATGCCAGATATATAGATTACGCGATGCACCGTGTACGCCTATTGCAGCACTACCACATACAACCATATATCGTCTTTGACGGCGGCCCCCTTCCTGCCAAGAAAGGAACCGAAGCTGATCGCAAGAAGCGGCGTGACGAGAACCTCGCACGAGCAAACGTTCTTGCGGCCCAAGGGAAACACAGCCAAGCGCGAGAATATTACGTCAAGTGTATCGACGTCACGCCGCAGATGGCCTATCAATTTATCAAGGTCCGTGATATTGCTGGACTTGTCTCGGACTTCGTACTGATGGCACTCACGCTGAAGGCGTTGCGGGCAGGGTCGGTTCCGTACGTCGTTGCGCCATATGAGGCCGATGCGCAATTAGCGTACCTGGAGCGCACAGGTCTTGTCGACGGTATACTTACAGAGGACTCGGACCTGCTTGTCTTCGGCTGTAAACAAGTCCTGCTGAAGCTGGACGTCGTCGCGAGCACTGTCTCGTGTATATCCCGTAGCGACTTCGCGTCCATGGCTTCAGGAAGCTCTGGCGGAATTTCCTTATTCGGGTGGTCGGACCTCCAGTTCCGCCATATGGCTATCCTGAGCGGGTGCGACTACTTACCAAGCATACCCGGAATTGGCCTGAAGACAGCCTGGATGCTGTTGAAGAAGCACAAGACCGTGCAGAACGTTGTCCGTGCGCTCAGTCTTGAGGGTAAGAAGAAGGTGCCTGAAGGCTACTTAGAGGCATTCCAACTGGCAGAGAAAGTATTCCTGTATCAAAGAGTATACGACCCGACACAGCAGATGCTCGTTCACTTGACGAATCCTCCCAATGACGAGGAGTGGGATGCAGAGACTGAAGCCTATGTCGGGGAGTGAGTTGAGAGAAGAACTAGCTGAGGCTCATCCTGACAGACGTTCCGCGTCATTCTAGGAACCTCAACTCGTCATTGGCCAAGCAGATAGCTGAAGGGAACGCATGTCCCATCAGCCTTCTGCCTATGGAAGACATCAATCCAACTTACGTGCCACGCGCCCTCCGTATGGTTCCAATGAACCTGCAGACACCCACACACCCGAACCAGGCCAAGGGCAAGGGGAAATGTACACAACCGGCGAAACCTGCCAATGGCATCCTCGATTTTTTTAGTAAGTCCGAGATTTCCCAGAGGCAGCGAAGCCTGTAATTTACGCGCGTTTTACGTCTGTGTGATGGTCCCTTAGCCCCGAAGGCACCGTCCACTTCCACAACGAACGCGGTCTCAAAGACATCGGCTCGGGCGGCTCAATGTTCCGCGAAGGCAGTTGGAGGGGCCGGCCGGTCCAGCGGAAAACGCACATTAGCGGAAGTGATGGACCAGGATATTGCCGTGAAAAGGAAGAAACAAGAACAGAACGATCGTGGGGCTCGGCCCACGTCCTCTAAGTTCTTCTGTGCAGCCTCTTCGTCGCCTTCACCGGAGGTTCAGGACCGGGTCTATGAGGAGCTCGAGTGCGCTGCAGGGCCGTCTCGTTTCGACAGAAGGGACAAGGAGAATATCCCCTGCATCGAGGACGACGACCTTCTCATGGTTGAGCCGGACCTTGTTGCGCAGGAAGACGGCTACATCTCGCCAACATCCTCGATGAGGGGCCGGCGGTGGTCTACTCCGGATGTTTCTTCACCGGTTCGCCCAAAGGCGGGTACATCGTGGGACGAGGATGACTTTGGCTCAGACGTGCTCTCCAGCCCGCCTGTCACGAAGCCTCTGCCTGGCCTGCTCACACGCGTGGCGTCCTCGTCCCCGTCGCGCGAGCAAACCGCAGGCCATGGAGTCGGTAAAGTGTTTGTCCGTGACACCCCCCCGCAATCTCAATGTGATGGAGAGGCCGTTGAGCAGCAGGAGGAGCTCGGTCCCGATCTCCGTGACACGTTCGGGGAGTGGGATTGGGACGAGGCGACAAGTGACATAGAATGCGCGGATGCAGAGGACGAGCCCGCATGTACTGCTAGCTCCTCGCCCGGGCCCGTGACTCCAGATGATTCGGGAGAATACGGCGCGGTCCAAGCTGACATCTGCGGCGACGGGACTTTGGAAACCGATGAGACGGAAGATGTTCTGGACGCGCGGGTGACCACAGCGCGTAATGCACGGGTCGCGAGCGGCTGGTGGGAGCGGTATGCACGCGGCGCAACGAAGACACCTGGTGGCATTTGGGTAATTTCATTTTTCATGGGACCTTCCGTCCCTGGCTGGGGGAGGCGATTTGCTGACGTACACTTACAGAAGCAGTCACCGTTGCGGCGCAGAGAGACCACGATGACGCCTGACGGTCAACAACGTCCCGCACTGCAGCGACCGCATTCCGCGCAGCCCATCTATAAGCGGAAAGAGGTGCAGCAGGATCTACGTTCTGCAAGCAGGCGAAGCTTGGTGCTCACGGAAGAAGACGTGAAGGCAGGACCCAGAAACGAGTTTCGTGACAAGATACCCGCACGGCCCGGTTCAGCAGAGAGTCAGAAGACGGGCGGCGCTGTCGTCGCGCGCAATAGCAACAACAGGTTCACCGCGTTCAGGTAGGTCATAGATCTTCTAATGCTCACGATGCCGGGTGACCTCACCGAAGCACGGACCTGCAGGTGGACGCCTGGCTGACGATTCGGTCAATCCCAAGGAGATCTGATTATGGACGGAAGGTATCGCTAAGACGTACTATCGGCGAGTCTATCGCGTTGATTGGTTCTGTGCCGTGTTTTCGTATTGCTATCGATTGCATCTAATGACATTCGCATCTTCTGAGGACTTGTGTAATGCGCTCGAGAGATGAAACCATCAAGATACGGGGTGAGCAGGACAACGACCGCGGCCATGGAGGCTATTACGGCAGACCGATCTCGACGCGCAAGAATTGAATCGCACGAGGGGCGAATCCGCCGCGGAGTCTGAAAATATGTACGACCTGTTGCATCATCAGCAAGGCAAGTACCAAAGGCGTAAGGTACCCACCGGAAAGTTACACCACTGAATCTGGGATGCTGACAGGCGCTGGGACTGCGAGGGCGGTGGTTGGCTCATCGAGGACGACCGAACGCGATCTGCCGACGGTGTGGGCTCTAGGGACCGGGGCGCAAGTGCAGCCGAGCTCTGATGACGGTCGGGGGCGCTGGATCTGGTTGCTGCGAGATCTGGTAATTCGTAGCTGGATTCACGGACGTGGTCAGGTGCTGTTTGATGCAACGAGATAACATGGCAGTCGCGCGCTGAGACTTCTCGGATTAGGACAACGGACGCCCTTCGCAGGTCTCACGCATCTTCCAAGCCTACTTCCGCCTATGGCAGGCGAGGCACCGACCTGTCTCGTGTCTGTCTTCTGGCCAATATGAATTGGGCGTTGCACTGATGTCTCGCTCATGTAAACCAGTCATGACTGAACATCCCCCGAGCCTAAAGACCGCCACTTCCAACGCCTGAGGTCTTCGTCCGCCCCCCACTTGCTCACCTCTTACCGCATCCCAGCTATCAGTGAGTGCGCCTGCGTCAGGCTGTTCCTCACTTATGTCTCGTCGTAGCCAGTCCATGTTCCGAGAGCAGGCAATGCCTGGCACCTGGCACGGACATGATTCAGGCTCGAACACCGCCCCTCTGGCCTTCCCAGACCAGTACTCGCAGCCCGCCTCGCAGTCCGCTCCTCAGCCCGCCCAGCGATATCAGCTTTCCTCATACCACGTTCCTGACAGCCAGCCAGTCCCCAATCTCCCGAGCAATGGCGTATCTCATCACCAGCTTAGCTCGCACCAGCTATGGGCCTTCGACTTCCATAACCAGCAGCTGCACGGTGCGCATGGCTCCCAAGCAGGCTATGGAGAACCTCTTCCACCCTCGTCTAGCTACTATGCAGACCCAGCCACCTCTCACTTGGTAGGTTACCCAGAGTCGTCGCAGCGCACCCATCTCCCCGAGACTGCGTACGGCGCGTTCAGCGCCCCCTATCATTCCGCCGCGGCATCCCTCGGTGCCGAAATGACCTCCGCTAGCTCCCACACCCATTCCACGCATCTTGGGCTAGAGACCGCCCACAGCATTCGTCAGCGAGGTCGACTAGAGCAGGGCAGCGCCGGTCGCCCTACCTATGGCACGAATAACCAATATTTCAACGCGCGTTCGGACTTCGAACCTCTGACGAATACCCATCGGCTGGGCGCGTCGTCCGACGGGGGGTTGCATTCAATAGTTGGGGGCTCGCAGCAGCTACCATCATCCCATGCCAACCTCAATGCAGTCCCGATGGGCTCACCGACTTCCCCCTTCTCATCCGTCTTCTCGGACACGTCGAGCCTCACCGATGCCCGTCCTCCGCGTCTCGACTCATACGCTGCCCAACTTCGTCGGGACTCTATGGAATCTATCCACGACCCCCTGAGTCCCTCAGCCGTTCCCTCGCTGGTGTATGATGCCGACACCGGCGAAGACTATGATGACGATTCCGAGGGCAGTCCCCCCTCGGCCGTGTCTGAGCTGTCGCGCAGTTCCTATCACTCGTCGAGCTCCCGGGGAGAGCGGTTGCGAATGGAGCTTAACGGCGCTGACGAATGGCAGCGCTCGCTCGATGCTGCCTACAGCGGCACCTCAGGCGCGCAGGAATCTGATCGTGGCGGGCAGCAACCCGCGCGAAGCCCAAGGCCTGCGGCCGTATCGCCATCCGGCGCCTCGACGGCGGAGAGGTCCAAGCCGTCACAGAAGAAGTCGAAGATGCATCAGTGCACGGTTTGCATGAAGCTCTTCCCTCGCCCCAGCGGCCTGGCGACGCATATGAATTCGCATTCGGGCGCGAAGCGTGCGTTTTTGTCTTCTTGCTTCCCGAGTCGCTACCTGATGATTGAGCTTTGCCATGGCAGCGTACAAATGCCCTATACCCACCTGTACAAAGAGCTTTGCCGTCCGTTCCAACGCCAAACGGCACCTGCGCACGCATGGCATCTTCCCCACCTCCGATCATGCCAACACGTCCCCTTCGCAGTTCACCGTGGGCTTCGAGACGCCATTGGTCTCTGAGGTGCACGAGGTGGGGAAGCTGCCGTCAAAGTTGCGATGGGTGCCGCAGAGCCTCGCCACACGGACGAACGTGGACTACCTCAGAGACCCGCCGTCCGACTCGGAAGAGGAGTACCTGCGTCCATCGTGCCCGCTCTTACCTGTACCGCTGCCGCCTGTGTGCCCGTCATCGCCGACGTGGAACCCAGACGACCGTTACGAGGAGCGGGATCCGTACGGTGCGACGGGGGCCAGCCCCTACCTGCCCAGTCAGGCAAGTGAAACTTCTTTTTCTCCGACGCCATTGTTCGCTCATCGCACGTGTTCCCTTAGTGGCGAGGGCTGCCTGGCCCTGCTATCATGTCCGCGACCAGTTTCTGAACGTGCACGCCCGGGGCATTCTTGGCCTTCTTTGTCAGCTGGAGTATTCTTGTATCTTGCTTAACGACCGCGCAACCTACATACACTCTGCGATCCCCTGGTGGACGACCTATGTACGACGCGATTTAGTTTGTCACGACCGACATGTTATCTGTAGCGCGCGATTCGTCTCAGTCATCCGTTGTACGATTACTGCGTGTATCAGGGATACTAGGATAGTTAATGCCGTAATGTTGACTACGCCTGATTCGGCCGTCCGATTTGCTTCGGCAGGCGATGGACTGCAATTACGCGGCCGCAGCGGAGCGGATCTTTCGGTGCGAGCTCGGAAGTTACCTTGGATCCCTAGCACGCTATAATAGATATGTCATGTTGGCCTGTAAAAGGGAGATCTGGCTACCATTCGACGGGCGTGTCCACACGTCATACAGAGTATCAAACCCAATCATGCAAGAAGATTGGCGCAGGTGGCCCTTATCGGCGGACGCAATCTGCTCTCATTGCGTGGCCTGTCGCTTAGGCTTGCACTAGCGACTAGATGCCTGTTTGTGGGTTCCATATACAACACGATTCACCATGCCGATAGGCATGTCATACATCTCCGGAATAGCACTAGGCCGTGCGTGTGCGACATACGGATTTTCGGCGTTCGTACGAGGCAGATGTGCCCGGGAGTCTGTGGCGTCCAATTCTTAGACAGGCATTAGAGTACAAGCGCAACCCGGGAGCGTACCTGTTATCGTGCTGATATCAGAGAGGGCTGGCGTCCCGGAAAGTGCCAAGGCGAAATATGTGTGATATGTTAATAGCACTAATACGACAGAGTACGCCGGGAGGAGGACCGCCCATTCCCTAGAAAAGGAGCGGAAATTAACGGGCGACCGCATTGTGGTATGTTCGGCATCGATTCCCACCTATTAGGATACCAGGTCACCCCCAGCCACACGATGTATTTGTCCGGCAGAAGAGCCCATAGCAGGTATGCGCAGAACAGAAGATAGGTCGAGGTCCATGCTACGAACCCATAAAATTCTGGTGCACGACTACGGGACTCCGTCGGCGGGAGGGGCGGGTAGGGAGCGAGGGGAGATATGGGGGATGTTGGTTCCTTCTCGAGCATGCTGGAAGCTGGACACTGGCGGGCAGCCAAGCTACTGTTGAGAAAATGAAAACGGAGCGGCGGCTGCATGCTGTGCGTTCTTACGCACAGATCACCATATATGGCAATCACCGTCCACGTTGGTGGGCGAAAGTCTAAAGTGCGACTGGTGGGACAGGCGTTGGTCAGGAGGAGCTTCTGGCTGTGGGATTGCGAACAACGCTTTCGGTCCGTGGCGCGGTGAGCTGGCCCGATGTTCCAACTCGTGCACGATAGCATGGGATTCAGGCAAGCGATGACCGCAACGGATGTCGCCCCTGCCACGTCCGAGACGCGGGATGTCGCCATCCACCATCTTTGCAATTGACTTGTCGTAGATGGCAAAGCACTAACGCTCTTTTTGTAGGACAAGACAGCGGTTGCATCATTGTTTTTCGAACAATCGATGCACTAATGGCTGCCTTGCAGACCCAGAAGAAAGCCCTGAGGAAGGCGATGGCCGTCAAACTGCGGTCGTTGTCGGCGGCAGATATACAACAACAATGTACGCGTTCTTTCCGCTATACGACGTATGAATGACGTCCGAACTTTGGTCTCCAGCGCAGGCCGTAGCTGAGCGCCTGCTTGCCTCGCCGATTTTCTTGCGTAGCAGGAGTGTCAGTTGTTACATGAGCATGCCGCTCGGAGAGGTGCAGACATCAGCACTGCTCTCTGCAACTCTGAGCTCAGGTACAATTTTCGATGTATTTGCCGTGTGGTTTACTGAAGGAACACTGTTAGGTAAAACACTCTTTGTACCAAAAATCGACATTGCGAGCGAGAGGAAAATGGATTTCCTCAAAGTTTATGATATTGAAGATTTGCGCACATTCCCGAGTGGCACTTGGGGAATCAAAGAGCCCGATTACGAATGGAAGGGACATCGGCGTGCAAACGGTCCGTGTGTCAAGTGTCCGCTGCTATCAGGGTTGCCGCTGAATGCAAATCCTAATGTACAGCTCTGGATGAAGACGTAGGACTGCTGGATTTAATCTTAGTTCCAGGTACTCAATGCTCTTCCGTGACACCTTGCACCGGCGTTGCTTACATGCGGTCGGAGGCGTTGCATTTGATCGATCCCTATCTCGTCTAGGGCATGGAAAGGGGTACTATGACCACTTCGTATCTTTGTACACATCATCCAAATCCGCAAATTCGTATAAGAAGCCCATGCTAGGTGCGGTCAGATGTGTCTGACATGTGGCTGACACTGATGCCAGTTTCCATCAGTGGCATTGGCATTACGGGAGCAAATCCTCGAGGCTGGAGAAGTCCCGACTGCACTGCATGACTGGCAGATGGACGTAATAGTAGGCCCAGATGGCATTCTGGGCACCACAGATGGACCACAGTAACATTCTCTCTTGACCTGTCGATTTGGAAGCGGTTCAAACGGGTGCAATTTCCGAAGATCCCCCGATTGACAAATCGATCAGGGCGCATTTCATTGAGACCGATGAGAGGTATGGGGTTCAAAAAATGTCGCTATTGCATCACACCATCGACCTGTGGATAGTCACATCCAGAGGACGGGCGAAATACAAGCCTAGACTTACAATATTGTAGTCTTCTTCACGAGGATCGTTTCGGCCTTGATTGTGCGTTGGGGAAGACAACAGGCGCAGCTTTCTATTTTTGTATATGGTCATTATAGTTATGCAGTATACGTGACAGAAGAACTACCTACCCGGACGAATGCGACTGTGGGACGATGAGAACTCTGTATGTTCTTCCCGTTGGAAGATAAGCATTTCCTGGACATCAGTGGGTATTTTCACATGGTTCGCCTCCAGCGGAGTTCCGAATGCGGGGGTCATCCTCGGACTCACTTATTTGCGGGACCATGACCGCTTTGGAGCCTGTATCATAGTTCGCTGCGGAGCCGTCGGTCTTGAGAAACTTCGTCGCGAGTTGGCTTGTGATAACAACCTAAATATGAGCCCTGGGAGAAAATATCGGATATGTCTCGGAAATGATACCAGTACGCACGGTCAGTCTCGAAGAAGCGCACGCCCTCGTTAGGATGTGCTTGACTCTGTCGAGTGCTGCATTGCGAGCTGTCGCGTGCAGTTCAATCGGAGATTGGAACGGGAATGAGAGAGAGTTTAGCACTAATAATGTGATCTGGGAGGTATTTGTAATCAGAGGGAATATGTTCCTTCGTAGGAGTACAGGGTATATTCACTTCCGGATGCGTCTGCAAGTATGCGGGGAGATTCCGGAGAAAAATCATGAGATCCGGGAGAGTGTGCAATCGAAGGTAATGGACCAGCTTCTTGTAGTCTGGTGCGGCGGTCGTTGATTCTAGATTGTGGATGAACACTCGCCACAGTACAAGGCCCGAGATCATGACCAACATACTACGTAGTGCCTTATTTAGGGTGGCGGGACTTGTCATATTCTGCATGTCTGTGACCGTCAGTGCCACAGCTACCAGGCCTGGATGTTGAGTATACACACCGACAAAAAGAACGCCTTGTGATACTTCTACAAAACTTCTTGCAGCGTCGCTCGCGAGAGCTTCTTTCTTGCACCCGGGTGCGCCGGACAGTTCAAGGATATACCCTCGTTTGAGCCCGCCCTCGAGCAGGGAATCTAGAGGTCTGCAGTGCGTCGTATATTGCGCAGCGCCTCCGACTATTGATGCAGCCGACTGCGTCATTGGAGGGGCCCGCGCAGCCTGCGTTGCGGAGAGAATGGCTTGTGACGACGGCAATGATATATTCAGGTCTGTGACGCATCCCCTATAAGCAGGTACGGTACACAGCTGGCAGCCACTTGCCCTTAGCAAGACATTCAGGAGTCAATGTAGACAAATCTTGTACGGTCTCGTATCCCCCTCGTGCCAACACGGAGAGCGTTGCGGGGGGGAGCGATAACGTGGATAATGGACGTTTGGACATATTGTCGGATCATATGAGGAGGGTGGATATGAGATAATTGTGGATATTCGTGATATGGATGGAGGTAATTGATATCGTATGCTCAATATCTGTAACGGAGATGCGGCGGTAGAGTTGACGCGTTGCGCGCAAGCGCGTCGTACGCGTCTGTGGCGTGGGAACGGTTAGATCTGAGGTTGAAACTCGCGTAGAATCGTCACGGAGTTCGCCGGACTTTCTTGAACTGTTCTTGCTCGTTTCTTGCTCAGGTTCCTGCGTACATAGTAGCCTACAATTACATTTTCTGCTCAAATCTCACAAACAGCGACCCCTTCATTCCGACACGCTCTCAGCATGACAGCCATCCCCAATCCCGTTTTCAAGTTCAACCGGGAAGCATACTCGGTAAAAATAGAGAACATAGCGAATTCTGGTGCGAAACAAGCTGCCGTGCACGGTATATGCGGCTAAAAGTGCTTCTCAAAATTGGATTTAGCTAGCAAGCAGGAAATCGTCAATTTGTTTGCTACTTTGATAGGTATCTTGCCAATGCAGCCCAGTCTTTTTTTAGCAATCTCATCCTGACGTCTGTTTTCTGCAGGTGAAGTGACTAAAGCTGAGGAGTCTATGAGCGGCAGCCGGCGAGTCCTGAGCCTGTCTTTCATGACTCATGACGATGCGAAGTTAGTTTTTCCGTTATGAGCGCATCCATTAGTGGGTCGCTGACTTCACTTTCAGGAAGGCATTGTGTATGTCAGGCTACAATGTGGCAGGAGTCCCGCTGTAAGCAGCCATCCCATTATATCTGTTGAGTAGACCAACTCATGGCTGATCCCAATGTCTGTGAATGCAGTGCGGTCACCTTGACTTCGCCGTCCGATCCTTCCCGTGCCGCCAAACATGGAAATCAGCCTAACAATCGGCGCAATCTCTACGTTCTAGGGCTGCCCTTCGACCTCACGAAGTAGTGTCGCATGTTTCTTACCTCCGCGGTCATTCGTCCTGATATCACGATAAGGCCAGATTTCGTTGATATTTTCTCTCGTTTCGGCACGGTGTCCCACGCAGTGATTCTTGCCACGGTCGACAATGCTTCTCGCCGTCGAGGTTTCGTCGTCATGAGCTCCCATGAGGAAGCTAAGGCCGCCATGGACGGCTTGAGCCGCAAAGAAATCAAGTAAAGATTTCTGCATATTGCAACTCCGTCCGCCCAATTATGCTCACTTTTCACCAGAGGGCACACGATTGATGTCTCATGGGCTGTTGTCCAACGTTCTCAAGGTTAGTCCTGTTCAAGCCGACTTCCCAGTATACTACCTCATGTTTACAGGCTTCCTCGATGGCGGTGACCGCACTACTGTACTGGCTAGTCAGTCGCCATCTCCATCTCCTTCACCATTCGAATTCGGTGGTCCGAGTTCTGGTCCCTCGTCTGCATCTGTCTCTCTCTCGTCAACGCCCCTTCCCGAGCGACCCTGTGCCTCCGTCCCTATTCAAGCAACTAGTTTATTGGTCTCCAATCTGCCTGCCGTTCTGTTCTCTCAGCTCGCCGACTTGCACCCTTTGTTTTGCCCTTTCGGCGATATCAAGAAGATAGAAATTCTGGATTATGCACGTTACAACACTACGCAAGGCCATATCACAGTCATTGTAGAATATGCCACTGTGGCTCAAGCGCAAGACGCTGGGAACGCATTGCATGGTCAAATGTACTCCGCTACTCCTGTCAAGGTAGAGTTCCTGCAACAACCCATCAATCCTGAATTTGGTGCTCCTCTCGACTGCAAGGACTCGAGGACTAGGCTGAATCCTCATGCTGCGCCGTTCATTGTTCATGGTATATCTCCGGAGACCGTTCTGGCACCTGTCTCCTCGCTCTACAATGAATCTCGGGTTGACAACAATCGTCTTGCACCTGTTCCTAGTGGATTGCTGGCCGTTAATCCGTATTCGCTTCCCCAATATGTGACACCCACCTCCCTCTATACCCACCTTTATGTTCCTGTTGCTGGGATGATGCGACCCAATTCTGCTCCTTCGCCGTAAGTTCCAGATGCTCTCGTCCTACCCCCAGTCGCTCATGACCATCCTCACATACAGTTGGTCGGACTCTTCGCAGCAGCAGGTGCGCGCAGGCGACTGGGCTTTTGCTCAACTGCAACACTTCCCGAATCTCTCCACTCCTTCTCTGGGTCAGCCTTCTGCCGCCTGAAAAGTGCTTCTCCTCGCTCCCGCTCTCTAGTTTGCTTCGCTATCCCTGGATCATCAAGACGCCAGACTATATCATCGAACCCTTTAATCGCTTAGACCAATCACAGTCCCATAGTTCTATTCTTTGTTCAAATTTCGCTGAATGTGGTTCACTTGTCATGTTGTGGTAATCGTTTGTGTGTCCCACATATCGCGCTTCCTGCTCACCCAGGCAGAAGCAGCGATGTGTCTTCTGTGCAGCTGAAATAAATTCGTCTCATTGTGCGACCTGTGCGCTTGTCGTGAGTGTTGAAACAATCAGCGTACAGCACAAGGTCAGATATCAGGTTCCTCCTGTAATATAAAGAGGACTATCTAACGCGTGGCGGTACATGAACGCGATGTCACTTACGCGTCGAAGCGTGAGGGTAGTCTCTCGAGAGCAGAGTAGACAATTCCTTCAACCTGCACAGGCTCCGGATACCCTACGTGGAAGGCTGGAAGCGGATGCGGGATGGTTAATGACGCGCATCACGTGACCGCGTAGTGTGAGCGGCATGTGCCGAATGGACTGTGTTGCGCGCAACGTTAGCGCGGGTTACAGCCTACGCGCAACAGCCTCATTCTCCAGGTTCTACGCACTCCTATGTATGGCGCTCGTGGTTGTGCGGCCAATTGTTTAAAAAGCCCAATTGAGCCTGCTTGCTCTGGCTGTATATCTCGTGGAACCAATTCGAAGGCATTTGATTCCGAATTGTAGTCTCGATCTGCCTCCACAGGCAAGTGTATCATTGAAGAGAGCTTTGTGAGCTAACGTTAGATCCAATGCAATAGCTCGTGTGGGACATAAGATTACGATACAGCTACTCTACGGACGAATACACACGCCTGAACCGAGGCGGTACTCATGGCCAGTCGCAAGGAGGCAGCGCGTCCCCCTCGTGGACATCCGCTGCCTAGACGCCTATTTTCCATCGATTCTCTGAGAAAAGAAAAATCCGGCTCAGATTCCGATACAGCCTCTGTCGCTGGCAAGGACACCACGAAACGTACACGAGTACCCTCCGGTGCGTCTTCGACCGGCGGGCAGCCAAGTGTGCAGATGACCACAAGTACAGACACGGAAGATTCTGGGGGAGAGAAGGTTCTCCAATGGATGGACGGTCAGACAGTGCGCTCACCCGATGAATTGAAGGAGCAGTCATCTGCCGGCGATGAGAAACTGAGGCACAGACTACATATCCAGCGACCTGTTCCGCTCAGGCTCGGGGCGGACACTCGAGCTCTGTCCGGAGATGAGGCACCTCTTCCATCTCCCGGAAAGAGGCGCTGGGACACATTGCGCGCCCATGTCCTCCCGAACTCGGCCAACTCAGTAAATGCGCCCCAACCGTACACTCGTCCTGGTACGCCGAGCTCGGCAGGGGCAAGTCCACCACCTTCACGGCCCTCCACTCCCAAGTCATACCGCTTCGGCCAGAAGATTTTTCGTCAAGTTGTTGAACAAGCAAGGGAGGTTGCTGTAGACGAGCACCGCAAATTTGCGGATAGCATCCTGAAAGCATGCTGGGCCGCACGTTTCGGGGAAAGCTCGACACGACCGAGACCTGAGCGCGAGGGGTCGCAGGCCACGGTTGCATCAACTCTGCATATTCCATTCATGGCATCTGCAGCCTCGCTGCCTATTCCAGGCAGCCACAGTTTTCCCTCTATAAATGTGATGAGGAGGCAGGGGTCATCACAGACGGTAGCGGTGGACTCCCGTACACCATCTGTCGCTATGATCCAACAAGCGCTCACGTTCAGCATGGTCATGAACCGCCCCGCGGCGCTTCCCCATGAGACGCATGTGCTCTCTGCCCTGTTGGTCCCTTTCTTAGGGCCGTATAGAAGCGAACAAGTCAGCTTCGAGCAACAGACAGCCGTCGAAACATTTGAATATCTTATCAGAACCTGGAAGGCACCCTCAAACGAGGTGAGTGAAGCGGTTTGGATCCGTCCATTCTATCAGAACCGACCTCCCGCTTTATAGGTGGACCTAGATCGCTGCATATGGTGCTGCAATGCTGCTTCTGTTCCCTCGGGTTCCCGAATGCGTATACTGGGAGCACTGTCTTCGCTCCTCTTCTCCAGAGAGAGAACATTGAGTGCAGATACGCCACTAGTCTTACGAGCGCTATTCCAGGCCATGTTCTCACTGTTGATGTGCCTGTCCTCGACGAGCTCGCAGGCCGAGGTGGAGTCTCTGCGAGCGTATATCGCGGCTATACGAGATGGGCAATGTGGCACGCCTTCCCCGCAGTCATTGGAGAAAGAATATGGTGTGCGGTGGTCACGGAACGATAACGACCAGGACGTAAGGCGACTTATCGCCATCGAGGGCCTTATCGGCCAGCTCGAGATTGGTTCCGAGAGCAGTCGCAAATGGATGTTGCGCAATTTGGTGGAGGTAGGCAAATTATTACATCGTGTCTGCGGACATGAGCTGATGGATCACGCAGGAGTTCTGGCCGTCATACACGGCACAGATGACGCTAACGTCGTTGCAATCGTGCATACATGCTCACAAATTGAAGACCTTCGTCACGACCGCGTCGAACCTTTTGTGCACCGCTTCGTCTGGCCTACTGACCGACGCTTCAGTGATAAGCCGCATATTTCAAACTCGGATTCTATCCGAGGTCGACTCGATTCACGACAAAGATATAGCGGGGGCTAGACCGGCCGTATTAAGACTTGCGTTGAATCTAACATGTGTCCGAGAATTCGACGGGAGAAGTTTGATCATGGAGCAAATTGGATCTTGGCTCCAAGATACCACAGGATGGAAACTGACCGTTGAAGATGCATTGAACGATATGGTACGAGTTGTTCATGTTACCCTTTTCTGTTATTAATCATAAAAAACAGATTGTTAATGCAGGATGGCCCACGCTGCTGCGTCTTCTACAACCAGTATCGCATGATTATCCTGAGAACGTCCGTGCGCCATTGGTGCTTATCCTACTTCCTTTATTGCATGATGTATGTACTCGCGATCTTCGTGTTCGATCAGTGACTGACGTCCATTGGGCTCGCACACAGCGACTCATGGCCAACACTCCTGAGGATCCATGTCAACCGCTCATCGATTTTCTGGATAGCATCTCGCGCATGTATCCAAAGCTGTTCTACAAGCCAATATTTACATGTGCAGCGTCGGGAAAGGACCTCACGATTGCCAATCACATATGTGTTCTGAGCTGTCTTTCACACTACCTAACTGACTTCTGGTGCCGCGACGCCGACATGATGTCAGTTGCACTTATGAGTGATGCGGCAGGGGCGAAGCCACCGACTCAACCGACTGGCACCGTGTGGGGTCGAGAGCGGATTGGGCAGTCGGTACTTATTTTGGAGCTCATTAATCATCTTCGCAATGTTCGTCAGACGAAAGATGTGATGCTCGTAAGCCTGAATAAATTGGTATCTTACAAACTGACTACAGCGTTGATTTAACAGACAGCAAGTGCAACACGTTTCGCTGTTTCGCTTGAAGCCCGGCTTGGTGCCCTTATTCAGGCCAAGGTGCAGTCAAACGTATTATAACTCTGCGACCTGCCCATCTAACACTCCACAAAGGAGCAAAAAGGTCGCATACCACGCTTTCAGAGACGATTGTTTTGTGCGTTATTCCGTGAGATCAGACTGATCACCCGCTCTTTAAAACCGTACGTTCATGAACCGAGCGCGTAAACTATTTTTGCTCAAAATGCTCGGCGACCCAGTGCGCCTTGGCTCGCCACCATGATCACCTGGATATTGGACGAATCGACGGTGGAATTAGAAAGCGGGGGTGACGAAATTGTTACAAGCTTTAACAAGTTGCAGGCGCTCTACACCCACGCGCAGGAGGCTTTCCGCGGCGGAAGTAAGGTATGCAAGGCAAGTCATGTATCCGCGGGGGATTGCCTCTCACTTATTAACGTAGCGCAGGACGACAGCGTTCGTGTCGCCTGCAATCGACGGCCAACACTCAAGGTCTCTGGGAGACCATCCCGCTGGCGAAATTGTGACCGGGACAATGATGCTCCTGGAGTCTTTGCATCGGCCTCTTACTTCCACAGCGTTCCCACTGTTGGTGCTTGTTTCTGGCTTACTCAGTCGGGCTGAATATGCTCGTCTTGCACCGGTCATTTGGCGTCAATGTTCAGACAGCATTGATTGGGCAGTCAATGCATCGGTATGTTCGCTTATATACGACCGGTGATGCTTCTCTTATTCATGTCTCAGACCATGTTTCTTATCATGCAATGCGCCGAGCGCGATCCTGCAGGAGTTGCTCAACTTGTAGAGCAGGATTTAGCACAGTACGTCTACCCTACCAATCCATATTCGGTTGTTCATTGTCTGGGCAGCCATGATTGCGAAGTCCGAAGATTAGCTATCCAGAAATTTGCGAACATGTGCGGCCGGCGCTTCCAGATTCTAGCCCAGGAAGTCCTACTTGACCGCGCTCATTCTCGAGCTTTCAAACTTGTTCGTCCTCCCATTGCATTTGTACCGACGGACATGGGGACCAGCTCTTTCACTCTTGATGAAGATGTCTACGAATTCAAGGATAGTCATGGCCACGTTCTTCCCCTCGAACTGCGAAGACGATTAGCGGACATAGGTTGGGATCAGGAGGACCAGGTGATAGATCCAAAGACGCAATGGATCAAGACGCCTTTGTCTATGGTTCCTAGCATTCAGTTAGATGCTCTCGACGCATCTTCCGATGACCTCATACTAGGTACCGAATCACCTAATCTCAGTCCGCAAGCATCTCCAACCAGTTCACCGTCTGGCGCTGATATTATTCGGCGAGACTCCACAACCAGCATGACTTCGCGAATTGTCAAGCGTAGACCTGTTTTTGTCGCAGCATTTGTCTCGCTCATCCCGCGATTGATAGCCCTCGCAAAAGATGAGAATTTCCTCGTCGCAAGCACGGCCAAGGGTCTTATTGTGGACTTGATGCGCGACGATCCCACTTTGCTTTCCCGCGCAATACTTCACGCTATATCGGGTGATGAGCAGAGCCTTATTTCTGCAAGCACCGCTGTCAAGACATTATTACACGTACAGCACGTCCTTCCTCCTGTGATGACCCATCACTTGCTCAACCACCTAGCTGGCTTCTTGAAATCATCAGTGCGGCAGACAGAAAACACGCATCCTTTACAGGGGTACGCATACGGCGCTTCAGCTATCGCCGAACTCGTCGGGCAAGTTAGCAAGATGTCAGCAAGAGAAATCCGCCGCGCGAAGGTTGACACGTTCTTTCTACCATCGGGCTCTCTTTGGTTCCCGGCCTCTGCTCCTGCGAGCGCAATGTTCCCGAGGGGATTTGAGGACCGTCACAATCCTTTCGAGAGCATTCCTTCCTCTCTCGTGTGGATCACCCTAGTCAGGACATCCCAGAATATGCTCTTTCTTCGCTTATTGGAGCGCGACCCTCAAGAACTCAAAATCATCAGGAAGAACCTCTCAAGGCTTGTATTGCCATCCAAGAAGGACAATGCAGATCAAGGCTATCTTCCCTACACTGCTTTTGTACCACGTCGACAATCCAGGACTATTGACACGGACGCGACTTTGACCGCTCTGTCCGTTACTTTAGCTCGCAGCTACCTCTTGTTGGTCGCGCAAATGTTCTGGTCGATGTCACGTCACCTGAGCGACCGTCAAGAATTGGCAATATTGGTGGATGGCCTGAACCGCGTGCTGCTCACACATGGCGACGATATCGGAATCGTCGGGCATGCAATGCTGGGTAAGTAAGACTGATGATCTGCACGGGAACATGATATTGATTTCGATATAGCATTCATGCTAGCAAGCACACGTTTCAAGCGGATGTTCGTGTCTGGCGGCGCGTATGCATTATTTATGCCAGCGATAATCAAGACGTACTGCGAGGCCGAAGATCATCCAGGGATTAGAGCAGCCATTGAGTACGCGGTGAACCGCTTCTACGCTCTACACCAGGAATCCTTCGTATTTCAAAGCTTCGACGTGATCTCTCACATGTTCATGTCACCCGATGTCGATTATTCCTGGTTATCCCGGCATGTCTATACGCTCTTTGCCACACTGAAGACCGGTACAGCACCCATCGCTCCAGACGTCGCCGGCATCTATGATCTCAACAAGCTGCAGGAACAGGAGAACCGTATGGTTGCTGTGGCAGAAGAAGTGCCACAGACATTCCTCGCGTCTTTGCGTAAGAGCAAGGCCCAAGGTCGGAATCAAGTGACATTGGTACTCCCTGAGGAATATGAATTCAAGCGCCTTGAACTCGACAACCTCGTACGGCTTTTCTTGACGGTAATTGCACATAATCCGGGCATTCAACGCGCCGAACGCTTTTTGCGGCTGTTGCGCTTCCTTGCCCCGGAGTTGTACAATGCGTCTAATTCGGCACGCTCGGTTCTCCGCGAGGGTGTTGATGCTCTGGGGTCCATTCTTCTGAGCAGGACGGCATCCAAAGCAAAACCAACCGAAGGAATCTCGGTTCGTCCAGCAGACGACTTCAGCTATGACCTCTTGGTGGAGGGTAACGGCCATGAACCTCAACAGGCTCTATCTCCTGGAGACTTACTCAGCATGCGACTCGATTACCTTTCGCTGGTGATTGCATTCACGCGAACAGGGGGACAAATGTCCGCGGCTGCCTCATCTCGTGCACTGGAGCTGGCGAAGATAATCCTGAAAGATTCTATAGTCAGTGGAGATAGGGTCACCACGTTCCTGACGGACTACGCTTCCGTAGTACTACTTCGCGAACCTGCACCTGGGTTGAAGGAGGTGCTCACACTACTGAGCGAATTCCTGCCAATCATCAGCGCATATTGCACATCGGTCAACTTCTCTGGCGTCTTCGATGTCCTCAGCAACCTGTGTGGCAACACCGTCTTCGCAAACCAGCCTCTTTTCGCACAGCTCGTCGTCACCCAATACTGCAGAACTGGTCTGGAGGCTTGCGAGGCTGCTGCCGCCGAGAACTGGTTGCTATCTCTTCCGTCGAGAATGAGCATCATCAATCTAATGAATGCCGCTATACCCCTAGTGGGCAGCGACGTGATTGACGAGCTCGAGAAGCATGTACCGTCGTACGCGTTCCTCGCTGGAGTAGTCCTCCCATTCGTGTCATCTATGAAGACTGCTACTGAACTCGCGGCTGGCACGCAGATCGATGCACAGCGCCGTGAAGTCCATTCGAGAGCCTGGGTCCGCATCCTCTCCTACGTCCTATCAGCATGCCAAGACCCCTCGGTAACGAAAGAGCCGTCCAAGTCTCTGATGCCCGACCGCCGCAAATCTCAAGACAGTCGGTCGTCCTCCCGGAGCATGAAGCCCGCGATGGGCTTCGCGCTGGCACTACAGGTGTTGAAACTCATTCTCATACGCGCTGAAGATGACCTGTTCTCAATCCTGCCGAACGTGTGGTTCCAGATCGGGTTTGTTCTGAGAGCTCTCCTAGCCGACGGCGACGCCAGCTTTGCATTGCGTCTTCCTCGAGATTATTCGGAGCCTCCCTCTCCTCTGTCACCAAGCTCCCCTTCGCCAAGGTTTGGGAGCTTCGCCGCTCAACAGAAAGAAAGCACGTTCTTGACTTCTGTCCTGTCGCACCCCTCGGAGTCCCTCGCCCCGCCCCGTCTCATCGACTACCTGACCTGGTCCTTCGTCCAATGGCTCTGCCTGCGGCGGAGCCCGCTCATGCTCCAAATGCGCGGCTTCATCCAGGAGAAACTCGCGCTGCTCCACCAAGACCTGCGGGACGCGCAGCACCACACGCCCGCCCCCTTCAAGCCCGGCGCCAGCCCCGCCAGCGCGAGCGCGCGCCGCCTCTCCGCCTCCGTTTTCACGAAGCCGCGGCGCAGCCTCGCGCACGACAGCCGGCCCTCGTCCGCCACCTCCACCCCGCGCACCTCCGCGCAGCTCGACTCGCTGCCGAGCCTCGGCTTCGGCTTCGAGGACGGCGGCCTGCGCGTGTCCACGCCGCGCGGCCGGCTCGCGGGCTTCGCGCGCGACGCGAGCCCGCTCTCGCCCACCGCGCGCGCGGCGGGCCCGCGCATCGTGCACCTCGGGCCCGTCCCGCACCCCGAGGCCGGCCCGGGCGGGGGCGATGGCGGAGGCGGAGGC